TAAAATAAATGGCAGTGCGTGCAGACATCCTTTAGCAATATTTAATTATTTTTCATAGGTGACCTTACTAAGCAGCTACCAACTATGGTAGTAGGGGAACATAAGGACAAAGTGATTCAGTGCAGATGGCACACACAGGATCTTTCCTTCTTATCATCTTCTGCTGACAGAACTGTCAAACTCTGGAGTTATAATGGCTAAAGGCAATCTGTATGGATAAAGCACACACAAGACAACTGGAGTGTCCATAAGAAAAGCAGCATATTGAGCAGGACGATGCATCCCACAGAAACTTGATTGTTATGAGATGTTGGTGTGTTGGTGTGGATTATTATTTTTCAGTGCTTTCCATGTGATCTCATGCTGCTACGACCTACTATAGTCTTGATGCTGAAGTTTGTTACAAGAGCTCTTGCAAAGTCAATGTGCACTCCAAAAGTTAAATTTAATTATGTGTTTACACTGTGTTATTTGCATTCCCTGGTCTTTGTCTCAGTGACAATATTTTTTAAAAATCCAGACTGAATTACAGTTCAAGGAAATCACATGCAGTATCATAGCATCCACACAAATAAGTCTTGTTACGCCATGCTGTACGTTGTTTACATCTATCTTAATTAATGGTCCAAAACCTTACCCATCAAAGTTTTGTTTAATACGTATAATTATGAACTCTAAAGATGGCTAAAGAGGGGCTGACTCGATCATAGTAACTATCTAGAGATTGAGATATATGAAATGATTCTCAGTTTGAGGCTATACTTTGTTAGATTATGTTCAACACTCAAGCTTTTGGTAGAAAAAACATTGGTGTGAAGTGACGTTAGCGTTACTGGATGCGAATGCAACAAAATACCTCTGTGTAATGTAGGAAAGGAAGCACACTATTAGGTGTGGTTGGTACAATTATTTTGATATCAGTGGCTATAATCCTACAGAGGCACGTATGTGAAAGTATTGTGTATGCAGTTAGGAATTTTTCTGAAGTTGCTATAATTACTAATTGCATTGTTGAAAAAAAATAATATATTAAATTGCCCATTCCTCACCATTGCAAAACAGTATAATAAAATGTTTCAAAATATTCTCTGGTTACACACAGTTTTCTCCTGTGTATATATAGAATACCATACGAATTTTAAAGGCAATAGCATGGCTTGAAATGCTATGTCTGCATGATAATCTAAAACTAAATTATTTCCCAGTTCAGAAGTTTATTTGGAACTTTTAATTTCTTGCACTGACTATATAATATAGTTGCAATTTTATTTCTATATTTAGAGTATTATGTTCATGTATTGTTTTATATTTTCATATTGTACATTTATATTGCTTTTAAATTAAATTTTTAAATATTTGGATTATTTATTTGAAGTAAAATTTAAGGCTTGGTTCTAATTAATATATGCTGTGCACTCTAGCAAGATCTTTTTGAACTGTCATTAAAAAAAAGTTGAGGTTACTATAGAAGTGTATATGTACTTAAATTCAATAAAGATTTTGACACCTGAAAGTGAAGCTGTATTTTTTTTTCTTCCTTCATATGGAAACAACTACCATGTATACGTGCATATAGGGAAGTATAGGAATAAGCCGACACTCACATTTTTACCAAAATATCATGAAAAATGCATTACCTACAGTAGGGTGAACCACATTTTTCATGCTGGTTTGAATAAAAATTCAAAGGCTGCTTATCCATAGATGGGCTTATCTGTGCATATATAATGGAAATATCTGTACTTCTAAAAACTTTATCATATGTACGCACAGATTAGCTCATCTGCTGAAAAGCCAAAGTTAATTTTTTTAAGGTGCATTTTAGCACCTAAAATTCTTGGCTTATCCTTGCGTATATATGGAAACCAAAATAGCAGAATAAACCTTTAAAATAAGAGCAGCAATATAAAATCCATCTATATAATAAAGATGGTCATCTATGTATTCATTTAAAAGCCCTCTGAATTCCTTGATTATGGTAAAAACAGCCAAATTAGTATAGTACTTATGTCACGAGGCTTGAAAGCAGGAGACCATGAGTTCTAGTCCTGACTTAGGTAAAAGCCAGCTGAGGGATCTTGGCCAGTCTCTCTCTCATCACCCTAGCAAGCAAGCAGTGGCAAACCACTTCTAAAAGTCCTGCCAAGAAAACTGCAGATTCTCCAGGCAGTTGGCAAGGTCAACTCTAACTCAAAAGCACAAACAAAGTGGAAAAAAAAATCAGTAAGGGAGGAAGGATTCTTGCACCATCCTGTGGACTGATATTCCATAAGGCTAGGAGCAAAACAGAAAAGGCTGTGTCTTTTTTTCCCCAGGGATATTTATTCAGGAAACAGCGGTTTTATACCTGATCAGGGGTTTTATAGTTGATCCTGATCCTCACAATGCATGACCAACTAATGAAATGCTTCAAAGATACTGTGCACTGATTATTTAAGATTAGCTTTCCCACCTCCATTCAGCTTCCCTATTCATGGACAGATTTTCAGACTTTTTCCTCCATGTACCTGAAAAGTACCCTCAGTATCTGACAGGCATCTCCACACCTCAGATTAACTGGGTGAAAATAAAGAGTTACTATAGATCTCACAATATTACATTTTTACACAGTCTTAATTGGATTATATCCCTAAAGTAGATAGACTCAATTCTCTAACGTCCTTGTCAAAATATTTTATTATGAAAAAGCTACAGTTGTATTTTTTGCCTGATAACAAAGGGATTTTTGGCATCATGCAAAAAACAAATATCACACCAATTTAGATAACAAACGCAAAATATCACAGTAACCCTTTTAAAAAACTGATTTTAAAGCTAATTGTACCAAAATGCCTGCTGAATAGAAAGACCTTTTAGCTGGTCCCACAATGCTTAGGAATCACCCCACACGAAACTCCAGAGGAGGATATGATTTAATTGGTATGCCTTATCAAAAGACTTATTTTGATAGTTGTATGCCTAACCAACATAATTCACTTTAAGTAGATCCTTTAAAATAGACCCTAATTCCAGGTACCGTAGATATGGTACACAACAGCATAGGAGAAGAAAACCTTTTAGCACAGTGTTTCTCAACCTTGACAATTTTAAGGCATGTGGACTTCAACTCCCAGAATTCCACAGCCAGCGTTGCTGGCTGTGGAATTCTGGGAATTGAAGTCCACATGCCTTAAAATTGTCAAGGTTGAGAAACACTGTTGTTTGGTCTCCAATCATTTCAGCAATAAAGATTAAGCACTCCCTAGAACCCGGAATGCTAAAAATCTCTTAAATTAAGAGACCTATGCTTGTGGCGAAGGCATAGTACTGTAAATGGAAAAAAAAACACCATTTTTCTCCGCCTGATATTTAGCTTTTCCTAGTGCCATCTTTCCAGTATCAGCGAGGTAGCAACTCCCACTCAGGATCTACCAAAGCGAGGTCGCAAAGCGAGGCATCCTGGCATGCAGACAGCGGTTCCTCTCTCTTGCTCAGTCACAACTTCGGACCCTGAGCAGAAACATCCAGATAACCCGAAATAACGGCCATGTTAGATTTCCCGAAATGCAACGCTGGGCGTCCCCATCAAGCTTCTGCGTTTCAGACGACCCAGCGCGACGGGCCCCAACGCCGCCTCCCTCGCCAGGCAGAAGCGTTTTGGTAAACGGGCGGAGAGCAACAGCGGCGGAAAGAAGGCGGCGAGGAAACTGAGCGGGGTGAGGGCAGTGGGGGGGGGGAGAAGGGGAGACGAGGGGAAAAAAGCAGGGGCCCTCCGCACTCGTGGGGGACGCCGCCCCGAGTGAGGTCGCCGTCCCCACCGCTTCGTCTTTGGCGGGTGCGCGCGCCTCTCTGGGCCTGCGCGCATTCTTCGAAGGAAAACGTTTCCTGCAGGGGCTTTTGTCAGCGCGTTTTCCCGCCCAGTAAAGAGGCTTCAGCTTTTAAAATGAGCCTGGCGGATACACAGCTTGTTAAGCGTGCAGCCAGCTTTCGGGGATTCGTATGGTTTTGTGTGGGGGGGGAACGGGCGCAGGACTTCCATTCAGTGTTTCTCAACCTTGACCATTTTAAGGCATGTGGACTTCAACTCCCAGAATTCCACAGCCAGCAATGCTGGCTGTGGAATTCTGGGAGTTGAAGTCCACATGCCTTAAAATGGTCAAGGTTGAGAAACACTGCTTATCTGCAGCCAGGCAAGGCACCTCTCCCCTACAATTTCCTGCCCCGGGGCGGCTTTGCCCTGTCCCCATCAACGGCTTCGCTTCATCGTAATAAGGAAAAGGGCAAAGCGTACATTTATTTGACGCATTCAAAGTTACAATGGCACAGAAAAAAAAAAGTGACTTAGGACCGGTTTTCACACTTAACGACCGTTGCAGCACCCCCTTGGTCATGTGATCAAAATTTGGACGCTTGGCAACTGACTCTTTAGGACGGTTGAGTGTCCTGGAGTCATGTGATTGCTTTTTTGTGGTTTTCTTGCAAGCAAAGTCAATGAGGAAGCCAGATTCACTTAGCGACCACGTTACTAACTTAATAACTGCAGTAATTCACTTAACAGTGGCAAGAAAGGTCTTAAAATGGGACCAAATTCACTTAACTGTTTCGCTTAGCCACATAAATTTTGGGCTCAATTGTGCTACCTGTGTTACTTATTGATTCCAGCAACTGAAAAGGTTTCTTGATACAAAGAGGCATTGTTTGATTTGTACACAAGTTTCCTGACTGGGCAGTAAATATGGTTATCTATTCACTGAGCGGGTGTGTATTCTATCTTTCATTCCGGACCTCAAGGCAGTGCAGGAAGCACTGCTTTCTCCTGTATGCCCCCTCCCCAACAACTTTGTGAGTAGATGTGGCTGAGAGAGTGTGACTGGGAACGTCACCCAGGGACGTTCTTTGACTTAAAATTGGCTGTTTTATACTAATGTAGTAAAATGAACAATTATTAGAATAATGATTTGTCTGCATAACTGCAATAATGATGTGTCTGCATAATTGCTAGAATAATGATGTACCGTATTTATTCGAGTATAACGCGCAAAATTTTCTACCAAAAAAAGAAATCAAAGTTTGGGTGCGCGTTATAAATGAGGGCTGGGGTGGGGTGACGCAGTGGCGGCCGGTCCATTGAGGGCGCAGGCGAATTGTGAGTTCGCACTGTGCCTTTTCTGGGCTTCAGCCGCTCACGCGAGAGCGAAGAAAAAAAAAATGTCCCCTCGTCGTGTACAGGGGGCGGCCCGAACTGGCGAGATGCACTTCCCTTTCCCGTTAGATGGCAACTCAGGGTATCAAGAGAAAACGTTCTGCCTATGACGCGAATTGTGAGTTCGCACTGTGCCTTTTCCGGGCTTCAACCGCTCACGCGAGGGCGAAGAAAAGTTTTATACCGATTTTTAATCGAAAATTAGGGGTGCGCGTTATACACGTGTGCGCGTTATACTCGAATAAATACGGGTAATGCGTAATCACTGGGAAAATTAACTAGGAAAGTTCTGTGTCAGTAATATGTGGCTAACCAAATGCGCATTGCACATGGATACTTTGTATGTAGCAAAACCTTCCATTGTATGCCCGTGAGAAACGAACCAAATGTATTACAGTGTATTACCATGTGTAGCCCCGTTGTTCCTGAAAGGAGGGTAGTGTAAAAACTGAAGTCTAATCCCGCCCTCCTTGTTCAGAATTGCCTATCTCTAATATGCCTCTGAACCTTGCGCAATAAACTTCTCTGCTAAACCCCTCTGGAATTCGTAAGAGTTCTTTCGTTTTCCACAAGAATTTAAGTAGTTCTCATTTATTGTCTGCCTTGTTTAGCAACCATTCAAGTTGCAACAGTGATGAAAAAGAAAGTTTACAACCTTCGCAGGTCTGTAAAGCGAAGGAAGGTATAAGTAAAATCAAAAGCACAGTCATGGATTCAATTAGTGATTGCTTAACCTAATGACTAAATTGCCAGTCCCAATTGTGGTCATTAAATGAAAGTAACTACGCACATGGGATTGCATTACTACTTTTTATTCTTATTATCATTTATTAAACTTCTATAACGCCCATCTTGTGGAAGTGACTCTCCATTATTAATTTTCCCTCTTTATCCATCCTAAACTGAGGCTCTTCAAAAAGAATAGAGCTTCTATTATTTTATTTATTATTATCCCACCTTTATTATTTTTATAAACGACTTAAGGCGGTGAAGGTATCTAATACCCCTCTCTGCTTCTATTGTTCTTTAAAGATCTGGAAGTCCAACAAGATGGGCTGTGCTTCCCAAGAATGTTTATTTGAGCTCCCCTTTTTAAAGCAGCAAGATATTTATATCAAATAACCATCTTGCTACTGTCCCCACAACAACTCTGAGGTGAGATGGGCTAAGAGAGAGTGACTGGCCCAAGCTCATCCAGCTGGCTTTCACGGCTAAAGCGGGAGTTGAACTCACCGTCTGCCATTTTCTAGCCTGGTGCCTATGGTATCCTGTGAATAAGGGCAGGACATGCTGGGGGTGATGAGAAATATACTATACTCCAGGCTACCTAGAAGGTAGCAAATTGGGCAAAACTTTCACTTGGAATATTAATTTACAATCTTGTTTTACAATTTTGGGATATCTGCTACATAGAACTGAACCATTTATTCATAGCATCTATCTATATATTGATTTCTTCATCTTTTCTTGGTTTTGTTCTTGAATTTTCCTTTGTAGAGCAAAAGTTATAAACAACAATTTTTTATCCTTGTGAACCTCTTTCAAATTTCCCCCTTTTTCAAGCTTGTATAGTCACCGTACACATAGGTAACAATTCTATTTTCTTATTTTGTAGTCTTAGCTCAAATAGGGTTTTTAATCATTTTTTGGAAGTGATATGTTTTATCTTTTTTCAACTTCTACTGAATAGACAAGCTCATGTATACAATTTAACAAAGAAGAAAACACGTCAGTGTTATTATTTCATCACACAGAAAAATTTTAAGAGCTGGAACTTAGGTTCTAAAGTCCTCTACAATGTCTATTTTGAGAAGTTTATATTCTAAGATTAATTAACATAACAGATAGTGAAACAATAAACACAAACTTTACTTGTCTTTCCATTTACATAATTTAAATAAAGGATGTATTCTACCCTAAGTTCTTTAAGTGAATTCTGGATACTAATTCATTGTGAAAATGACTGTTTAATCGTTTCTCTTTCAATAGAGAAGTCAAATATGGGGTTATGTGTGTTCGTTGATATTTATTCAACAGCATTGTGGAACTGAGTAGGGGTGAATTCTTCCCTGTTCAGCCTCCCATATTTGCCAAAAGGATGTAAACCAAGTTAGTTTATGTAAATAAGTACACAAATAAATACTCCTCTTTTGAGCAGAGGTTGGGTCATGCATTGCTGGGAGACAGCTTGTTGTAGCCAGATAATTCAATAACTTGGAAAATATTGAGCACTAGATGGTTGACTTTGCCTTCTGCATTTTGCTAAAATCATCCAATGTGCTTCCTGACAGAGGATGCTACTTTATTTGCTCCTGTATCCAGTCCTGCTGATAGGAAGGAGTGAAGCTCAGAATGATGATTGGATTGATCCAACAGACATGTTGAATTATGATGCAGCATCAGGAACAATGCGAAAGCCTGACAAGGTAAGTGTAGAGATATTGGAGTCGCTTTGGACAGTAATATAAATAAATAAATATTCTTTCTTTATGATGCAAATTCAAGGTCATCTCTAGGGTTTAGGTTAGGAGCTGTTTACCTTACCTTAAGTTACATATCAGGAATACCTCCTTTTTTGGAAGCACAGTCATCAAATTCAGGAACTTAGAATTGAGCTTTAAAGCTTGGAAAACAGTTTTAAGAATCCTAAGGATCCACAAAAGAGAGGGTTTGAAGAAACTAGGGTCGATATTCAGGCCTTCCATTTCTGCTTTTTAAAAAATTAACTCCAGTGCCATCAATCATGTGTACATTAATGCCCTCACTCGAGAATCTATGTGGACAGAAACATTTTTGTACGTATTATCATTCTGAGCAGCCTTTCTGCATTTTAGTCACACCCCATTCAAATGTATAGAGTTTTCACTAACTATCAGGAGAAAAAACATTGCAAAGTTCCTGACTGACTATGGAGAATTTTTTGATGAACATCAGTGAACTGTGGAGGATGGTCAACACCATAATCAGAGAGGAGAGACCTGAATATGATAATTGACATTGTTGACCAATTTGCTGTTCAACTGAAGCTAGTATATACTGTTGTCAATCTCTACTTCTGGTGTGTGTGTGTGTGTGTGTGTGTGTGTATGTATATTTTTTGTAGAAATAAGCAGAATGAAGCAGCTTCATGTTCAATAGTAGAAATATTAACAAATGATTAAAATTGCAGCATGTGAATCCAGATGATTTTGAAAAAAAGAGAGTACCACCAACGAAAGTGGCTGAAGAAAATCTAATGGAAATTTCCAGGTGCCAAACAAAACTAGATTCTGTAACTCATAAGGTTAGTTTGCATGCATGCAAGTTGACTATGTATGTTTTTAATAACATATTGCTTCATCGTAGCTTGAATAAATTCTGACCTTGTTAAAATATCACTTTGACATTATTATTAGATCATCTCCCATATTTGTAAAAAAGCTGCTGTTAAATGTTCATGGATATTTTCAGCTAGACTCCTACTTAAATCAGCTGAAATTTTTCAATATATACTTTTGTTAGGCATTTCGAAGTAACACAACAAAGAAAAAGAACAAAGAAAAGGGATGAAATAAAAGCTTAAAAATTGCCGTTAAATCTAAAGAAGCATAAATATCAAGAACCATAGTCAGCACAATATAAACTACAGAATTATAAGTGAAAATAAATCCTATCTATATCTTTTTTACTGGTCATATTGATGTATTTTCTTTGTTTTGTTTTCCTTGTTTGTTTTATTTTCCTTGTTTGTTTTATTATTCTATTTTACTTTTTCTTTGTTTAAACTTTCTTTTCATTTCTTTGTTTTTTTATAGTTGTGAACCACCTAGAGTAGCCCCATGGAGAGATAGGTGGCAAATAATTTAATAATAATATTCAGCGTACTAGGAGTTTTTCTAGACTAGACAACAATTGTCTGGATGGTATAAGGCAGTGGTGGCGAACCTATGGCACGCGTGCCAGAGGAGGCACTCGGAGCCCTCTCTGTGGGCACACGTGCCATTGCCCCAGCCTCGATTCCCCCTACGGCCCCCTCCTCACCAGCAGCCGCCCTGGAGGAGAGTTGCTCCCCACACGGAGCAGCACAGCCAAGGACATGGCAGCCGGGCAGCATAGACAAGACTCTGCCCTCAGGCCCCATCACGCACAGTTGATGCTGCGGGGCATGGGCAGAGAGCGTGGCCACCATGGTGCTGCTGGGCTACCTGGGCGATCTGCGGCGGGTCCTGGAGGCGGTGAGTGGCCCTGCGGGCAGGCGGGGTGGGGGCGGAGCGGGGCAGGGGTTGGAGCGGGGCCGGGGCCAGTTTTTTGGGCACTCGGTCTCTAAAAGGTTCGCTATCACTGGTATAAGGACTCCTGCCTTGAGGATGGGGTTTGACTAGATGACCTCTAAGGTCCCTTCCAACCCTGTGAATCTTTTTTCTATATTATTACTAAAAATCATCTCTAATTTTGAAATTCTAGAAAATTGAAATATAGATTTTATGTATAATGAAACCTAAATTTTGGATGTGATACAAATCTGTGTATTAAATTGTAATCTAGAAATAATTTTCAGTTTGAATTAAATTCGGTGTTACATTTACTTTTAAGATATGAAATTACTCTGATATTAAAGCATACTCCCATAACTTGGTTAGTTGTTCTTCCATAGACAGGATCAAACATCCTTTCTAAGGAAAGGCATATACTATCCTTGCAGCAATTCCCACATATACAGCTAATTCAATATACTTTGAAGGAATGTGTGCTTTATATGGTTATACTATACGAATTAGTAAAATGTAATTAAAATATCTCATATTTAAATTCCAATTTTAAGATTTGTTTCATTCTGGTTTGAATTATTTTCCAAAACTTTTGAGTTTACAGCGTTACTCCCAGATGTGAAAGAATGATCAGATCTGCTTGTTATATTTCCATCAATTTATACCGGAGATAATTTTGGAGGATTCTATTTTTTCAGCTTGATGAATATGAAAAAAAATGTAAAGCAAGGTTACATGAAAGCAGCAGCATTCATGTTTTTAGAAGATACTTGAATAAGATTTTAAATGAACTTGGAAGACTTGGACTAGTGAGTACCTAAGAATCAGTTAAGAATTTTGAGCATTTTTATGGTTATGTGTGTTCTCTCATAGCTAAAGTACAGGAGTTTGCATAACTAACTGCCCACTTTTAAAAATAAAATGGGTCTATCTAACAAATGACATATAGTAGTCAAGACACAATCTACAAAAGTACTTGAAAGGAGTTGCTTGAAGAGGCCTTGGTTTGTTTGATTTACATGTGTAGCAATTTGAGATAAAATCGATCTTTTCTTAATGTAATATAGTCTTGGACTTGGGGCTTTCTTAACTATGTATGAAAATCAGCATGATCAATTACTTCGGATGATGCTGATGTCCTTAAGTGGTTGCAGAAAACCTTTTTGGGTGATGGACATTTTTGGAATCCTCTGATCATCTTAGGAGTTAAACTCACAAACTACTTGCCAAGCAAAGGTGCATATATTTACAGGTTGATGCTAGAGTGGGCTCAGTGAGTTATGAAAATATTTGAAGGTGAACTCAAGTTTGTAACCTCACTGAAGAGAATTATCTGAATGGCTGAGTTGAATTTACTCCCCATGTTTATTATCTAACTTGCCCATAATGCCTGGGTGTGGCCCAAAACTATTCCTGTAAACATAAATGATCCTAAAGCTGGCATTTTGCTTGTTTTTATGGTAGTTTCACATTTTAACTTTTTGCTTTAATAATACAATAATACTTTAAAAGTTTTAAATGCCTTCAGGGTACAGTTGGCTGGTACCTGCTACAACAACATCCAAACTCTATTGTGATTGGGATAGAAGTTTAGCATCTTTAATGTTCAGAGCATTTTATAACAAAATGCGCATTTTCTTATATCTTCATTCTGGAGGGTAGTTTTTGATGACTATTCTTGACCTTTTGAAAGGCCACCGAATCAGGATTTACCATATGACTGACCAGCTGTGAACCCTTTGCATGTATTTATTCTGCAAAAGTATTTGGGCTGCTCTGATTATTTTGTGTGTGCTTTATTTTAGCCCGATGATAATACCAGGGAAGTGCATTATGATGCTGAGATCATCCTCACCAGCCAATCAGTTAATGAAATTAACAAGTTCCTTAAGGAAGAAGGCTGGAAATCTGCTTCTCTAGACGAAGCCGTTAACAGTATTCTGATTAATTATAGACCTCATGATTATGAAGCATGGAAATGGAAGTTTGAGGACACATTTGGGGTTGATCCATATAATGTCTTCATGGTAAGGGAAGCTTTCTGAAATATCAGGCCTTACGAATCGTAAATCTCATAGCCTGAGAAACAAAAGGGCTGTATTCTTATTTCTAATGCTAAATTAGTTTTAATGATAGGAGTGCAGTAGCTCCTGTGGTTATGATGCTGATGATTGGCAGGTTCACATTCAAGTCCTGGTTGCTGCTGCAGGATGGGTTGAGCTCCCATCCCTCGCTCCAGCTCACCTAGCAGTTCAAAAGCGGACAAATGGAAGTAGATAGATGGATACCACTTCAGTGGGAAAATTAACAGGGACCTGAAAGGAGCCCCCAATTGAGCCCCCAAAGGGCAGTGGGGATGTCACTGGCTAATCATTTCAACCCGGAAACGTTTCAGCGCTCCCAACACGACTGTAGTAGTAGTTTTAAATCAGTGGCTCTCAACCTGTGGGTCGGGACCCCATTTGGGGTCGATCGACCATTTCACGGGGGTCGCCAAGCAAGGCTGTCCGCCATTTTTTCCCCGCCATTTTTTTTGTCCGCCATTTTTTCCCCCTTTTTTGGCGGGTGCCTTACCTCCCTTGGGCTGGGCCAGCTGGTGGTCGGCCTGCTCCGTCTCTGCCGCTTGCCAGCTACGCCTCGGCCGGCGCAGGGGGCGGAACCACACATGCGTGGCGCTCCCGGGCAGGGAAAGTCCTCGACTTACGACCGGTTGGGTAGTCCTCGACTTATGACCGGTTTAGTCCTCGACGTACGACCGGTTTAGTCCTCGACTTACGACCGGTTGGGGTCGCGGCATTAAAAAGGTTGAGAACCACTGTTTTAAATGAACAAGCTACAATAGAAATGCACAACATGCTAAACATAAATCAACAAACCACACACCGATAATATGAGAACAAGCTAATTTTATGTGATTTTTCTCACTCATGATGAAGCACCCCAAGTTTTTGGTTCATTTGTTCAAAAAAGAACAAAAAAGGAAGAACAGCATGAGCTAGATAAACTTCTTGTCATAAGTAGTTTCCCACTGGGAGTTCAATAGAGTTTTTGATTATTACACTATTTGAGAGTGCAAAAACAAAGTGAGATGAAGCATCCCCCAGTTCATGATGCATTATCACACGTTACAAAAGATGAAGATATTTAAATTCAGTTTAATCACAAGGTAGAAATGTGTCTGTTGAAATTAATACATTCTCATCAACTACATTCCTGTATTCTTTGTTATTTTTCTACAAAAGGTCCTTTTGTGTTTAGCAAGCATCTCAGTCATTATTGCAACAGAATTATGGACACGTGTTAGTTGGTTGGCTCAGATTAAGCGTCTTATGATAATCAGTTTTCTCATCAGTTTTGGATGGAACTGGATGTACCTCTATAAGGTAAACAACCTTATTTATTTCGAAGAAGTAGGGAGGATGATAGATATATTTGGCCTCAAAGAAAACTTAAATATTACGGTACTCACCATTTAATTGTACAGTCAACAACACATGTAGGTATCAATTAGTGCTAATAATGAATCCCACATAGTGGTCGCATTAGTCAAACTTCCACTATTCAAACTGATATTTCTATGGAAACACAGAGCAATTGTCCAGCTTGACTGAAATATGCAATGAACGTTTTAAAATATAAATGTTAATGTATGTTAATGAATTATAACAGTAAAAGATTAAAAGAGTACACTTACAACTTACATTTATTTTTAACAAAGTTACAGAATAGTTATTCAGAAATTTTGGTTTTTATTTTGCGTTTCATATCATTCCTAGCGATGAGCTTACACTGACAAAAACATCTTTGTCATGTAATGAAGGAAGTTGTAGAAAAATTGTTACCTAGACCATCCCTGTTCTTTTTACATGATGTTAGTGTTTTTTATCATTTTCTAATGGATTATAACTTATCATGAGCTCTCTTAAATAAATATTTAGATAAATATTTAAGATAAATAAGATAAATCAGAGGACAGGCAGGAGGGGGAATCCATATACAAAATGTACTTACTATCCGATGTATTTTGCTATAGTTCTTTCAAATGAATCTTTTCTTTGTTGAACTTTTCTTAAACAAGATCTTCCTTTTCCCCATTTTGCACACAAGGGTTTATATGATTAGTATATAAAACTCCTATTCTTGCATTAACTGAATTTTGGCTTACTTTAAATATGACCTGATATCAAATTATAATTCTCACTAAATAAAAAAAACAACAGTGTTTGAACTCACATTAATTATAACCTATTTGTGTTCCGAATAATCTACATGTTTCAAACTGAGGTACTTACTTTGCCACATACAGTTGGTTTTTTATTCAGTAGGCAGTGACAGACAGTAGGCTGTATAAGGAGGGCTGCTTCAAGATTTGACTGAACTGTGCTTGTAGAATTTAGATTGTTTGGATACCATGAAGTATATCTCTCTACCCCCAAAATGGTAACTAAAAGCATGATAATTTTCACTTTTGTTTTTAGTAAACTGAAGAGGCACTTCAAATCCTAATAGATTATGAAGCTGCTTTGTTTCAACAAAACTTAAATGGTTATAGCATTGGCAGCTTGCTAATTCCCCAATGTGTTTTCTTTAGAAATGGGTTTTGTTCATAAATGGTTTAATAAAAAGCTTCTGTTCCAAAATACATTAATTTAGCAGCACATATATGATAATTTTGCTCTGCGAAGTAAGCTCGCTACGTGACGTTTGTCCAATCAGTGTCAACCCAATCAATCTCATAGGTTCTGGTTTGAGAATTGGAGGAGGGAGTATTATCTGCTTCGCCTTGAATACCTGAAAGAAAGATAAGGGATATAAACCTAATTTTTTAAAAAATAAATGAAATAAATTCTTAGTAACTAGTGACCTAGCTAAATGGATACTGCTACGGAGCCCATCTAAGGACTGTAACGGTGGATTGAGCATCTCATCCGCTGGTGCCATGAATAGTTTTTGCTGATGGGGGAAAAGGATACAGAATACATAAGATATAATCTTTCTTAACCATTTTTTTCTTGCTTATCTTATCTTCACACTAGTTAGTCTTAAAAGGTTAGAGGCTTTAGGATCCTCCTCCTCTATTTCTTGCATATGACATTTCTGAAGAAAGCTGTTCTCATCCTAGGAGGGAGTGAGGAAAGACCTAGTTTTGCCCCTACCCATTCCTACATTCTCTCCAAGCATTGCAGAAATAGAACCTCCAAGGACTACAATATCCACGCTCTCTCATTTAGTCTCAACAGTGATGAGTCTACGTTGGAGCCATTTGCTTTTAAGAAACATTTTAAAAGAAAGACTAAAAAGAAATAAATTCAGTGATTTTATTCAAGAATTGTTGAATCCTTTAAATATTTTTTTTTGGGGGGTGGGGTTGTAGAAAGCCTTCGCTCAGCACCAATCAGAAGTGGCCAAAATGGGAAATGTTGAAAAAATCTGCGTGGAGAAGCTTCAATGGACAGACAGCCTTTGGGGTAAGTAGCTTGTCACCTCTCTTCTGCTACTGCAGACATGTCAAACACAAGGCCCGGGGGCCGGATGCGACCCGCGAAGTGGTTTCATGTGGCCCGCGAAGCCATCCTGGAAACAGTGAGGGAACGGCCCCCACTGCCTTGGCCCTAGCCCAGGCCGGCCGGGAGCCAATGTACAATTTTGTGGTGGCCATCTATGCTGAAACGCATTCAGTCTTAACCCCACAAGGCCGTCCAGAAACAGCGAGGAACCAGCCCCTGCTGCGTTGGTCCCGCCCCCTGGGTGCATGCTGGGGAGGTGTCACCCTTTGTGAGGAATGAAGAAATGCACCATGCCTTGGTGCTTGCCTCGGTCCCACCCCCTTCTGCCAGAGACCCTCAGATCTGTCCCACTCCTGCCCAGGCCCCGACAGGCACCCTTGACGTGAACGATGTAGAGCTGGCCATGCCCACCCAGTAGTCCACACCCACTCCATCCACGCCCACCCAGTAGGCTGCACCCACCCTGGCCACACCCACCCAGCCCCCCAAGGGCAACCGCAATGCTGATGCGGCCCTCAATAAAATTGAGTTTGATACCCCTGTACTACTGCAACTTTTTCGTGCCCAACCTCTTTTTGAAAATACACGTGTTTTTATCACTAGGCTGCTTTTTCTTCCACAGAAATTCAAACCAAGTGTATGAGAAGGAAAAAATCAGAACAATAATACCATAAATAAGAAATAAGACAACAAAATGAACAAAAAGCCTCGGTTGAAAGAATTGCCAATTTTAAAAAAACGATTTAATTTAAGGAAAGCCTTGGACGCTGGAATGTCTAATAGCTTGGGGAAGGGGAATATTTTTGGGCAGATAATCTTCTGAGATGCTTTTTAACACCCTGATAGAAAATTTAGCTAACTAGTTATACAGATTTGAAATGAATTTACATATCTCTAGGCAGATCTGATTAATACTTGGATTTCTTCAAACCTTGAAGCCTTTTATTTCCAGTTATGCCTCAGTTGCCAGAGGAAAGGAACCCCTTCTCCCATGGGTCTTTTTTTAGGAGGGTGCCTTTTCTGTTAGCTTGCGAACTGTCAGCCCTGCGAGGTAGTACAGATAAGAAGCACATGAGTCTGTGGGAGGTATTGGTTCTGAGAGTTGAAGTCCATTGATCTTAAATTTGCCAGGGTTGAGAAACACTGCTGTAAATATTGCTAAAGTAATTGCAAATTTTATTTTCAAGCAGTTAATTTCTACTTACTTTTAAAATACAGTTTTAGTTTTTGTTTGACTGAATGATTTCTTGCTTTTTGACTACAGAGTTTTTTAGAAGCTCATTTACATACCAAGATGATCCTTGCCAAAAGTACTATGAAACCCTCTTGGTAAATCCGATTTTGTTCGTTCCTCCAACAAAGGTATTTTTTTTTTTTAGTTCTAGATGTTTTCCCTTTGTGCTACAGGGAAGCTGTCAAAGCATTCTAATGTTTATTGTTGTCTCCTGTTTTAGGCCCTGGCTGTTACATTTACCAATTTTGTAACAGAACCATTGAAGCACATAGGACAAGGAATTGGTGAATTTATTAGAGCTCTCATGAAAGAAATTCCAGTACTTCTACAGATTCCAGTGCTGATCATAATGGCAGGAGCAACTTTGGTAAGTATTTGCTTGAAGGTGATTCATCTGGATTTTGGGCTCTGATGTCCCACAGTACAAGCTGTAAGCTCCGAGACCATTCAATGCTAGGGGGGGGAAAATCCTATTAGCAAGATCAGTTCAATAGTGGAGCTAATTACTAAATTGTGTTTAGTGCCCTTCGTTTGACATGTTTGGTTGAGTTTCCAGGCCCATTCCAAATCTATGATTTAGCACATCTCTTGTGCATATGACCTACAATGGCCCCAATGAATTCAGTTCGAGGAAAATCGATGTAATTTACACTGGAAAGGATACCTGAGGTTGTTAACGCCTCCTCCTCAACTGCTTTTGGTGAATTTCTCATAGTGCCACTTATTAACCAAGAGGTTGGAGGGACAACTCATGTACAGAATTTGAAAGCCATTGTTTTTTGAAGACAATTCACAGTCATGTTCTAGGTAAATTATCCTGGTCTGGGTGTGTGATGGCTCACGTGGACACTGGATTGGAGGTTAGCAAGTCTGTGTTTGATACCCAAGTGCTGCGGCATGGCGGAGCGAGCTCCCGTCATTTGCTCCAGTTCCTTGATTGGGACATAAGCCCCAAGGGCCATTCCCCAGATGATGGGGATGTTACTGGCTAATCCTTTCAACCTGGAAGCGCCTTAAACGGTGCCTCCAACATGAACGGGATGGGATCCTGGACCAAAAACTGATGTTATCAATTAAAATTAATGTAGTGTACCATGATAAAAATGGTTTGGTTGTTGAATCTGCAGGGATTGCTCTAAAGGTAATTTACAATTCTTCCTATGTTCATAATCTAAAAGTTCAGATAAATATAAAAAAGGTTAAGAACTCTTCCTGTAAGACAGAAAGAAATCCCATTTAAATACTCTGGGTGGTAAAGATTGGAAGCAAATATTTGAGAAAATAATATTTAATAAGAAATGTTAAAATATATAGTGTCCTTGTTTGGCTACATGTGGATCATGTCCAACAGAGCCTTTCTGTCAGCAGAAACTTGGTTGCTGGATCAAATTTCCCTTATTCTGCACCTTCAGTTCATGTCACCAATTTCTCTAGAATTTATCCAATTTTTTGGGGAGGGTCCACCAAAAAGATTTTGGTGGCATAGTTGGAGGAGGGTGCCGTAATAGAAAAGACAGGAAAAGTCACTACTGGATAAATAGAAATTATTGCGCATAACAAGGTAAAGAGTTTAGTAAATGTGAAGACTGGAATTGTAACATTTTGTTCGGGACCTTACACAATTCTTTTCTAGATTTTCTGCTATGGAGCAGGGAAATCTGTCACTGCTCTAAGAGGTTTACCATACCAGGAAAGGCCACTGCCTCCCCCTCTTCCCCCAAGGGATAGAAATCAATCCCCACTAATGCTGCAGCCAAAACAGGCAGGTGCCAAGGCAAACGACTTGAGTGGAAAGACAGAGTCCATCCCGGGGGGTCCTTATGACAGAGGAGATGCCTCAAGAAGGAACGGGCAACCCAGATCTGACAGTGACCAAAAAAACAACATAGAGGTTGTGCGAGCCGGCAGTACACTGAATGTACCAGCAGAAGAGCATTCCAAATTGGCAGCCAAGGTAATCAGAAGCATATCGGTTTTAATTCTTAATTAAATTGGTTGTGTTTGTGTTATATTTATCCACTAACCCAGCGATCCCCAATCCCCGTGCCGCAGCCCATTAGCAGGCTGTGGCCTATTCGTAACAGGGCTGTGTGAGCAGCGGGCTGGTACACACGCACATGCAGCTCAATTTGCACAAGTTGAGCTGTGAGTGCATGTGCATGCAGACCAGCTCGCCACTCGCACGGTCCAGTTCCCCTCCCCCCCCCCAGCCAGGCTGCCAAGCCGCAAAGGTTGGCTGCATTAACTTATTGGGCTTAGAGACCACTGTATGTCTCCAGACATTAAAAGACAAAAACCATAAAGCACAGCACGGTTAAAAGGGAAAATCTGCAATGAAATAGTGTAGGAGTTATAATTTGTCCTCTGGCAGTAATATTAACAGTTCAAGGTTTTATAAAACAGCTAAGACAACAAATTAATTTCTGCAGTCCACCTTTTAAGTTATTTTTAATTAAGTGCTCCCACTCACCCCTGTTTATAAGAAGATAATTTTCAGATGTGAGTAAATCTACTTTAAGAGAGTTGTTTTGTGGCTCAGAAGTTTGGTTGAATCAGTCTGGAGTAAATGTCAGTTTCTTGGATCTCACACCTTGGTTGTTGGATGTTTGGGCCAGAAAGTGGAGAAAGGAAAGCAACGAGGAAAGCAAGGTGATGGGTGGGCATGGTGGTTAGAGATGTCATATTTGAATTAAAGGACAGTGGTGCATGGCAGCTGCAGTTTATCTCATCACCCTTCCCCATTTTCCCAGGACTACCTTTTTTCCTTGCTCCAGCACTGATGACTTTGTCTTTTTCCCTACTTCCCTTCTTCCCTACAATACAGATTTTGGTCCCAATATGGATCACCCAAAACTGGCTGTTCCATCCATGGAATACTTTGCACATATGTATAGCGCTATAATTAAGAGGCATTAGCTAGCACTTCTGAAGTGTGTGTATATATAAGTATCATTTCATGATGCTGCAATATATTTTAGTTGACCTGAAAAATATTGATTATATATTAGGAAGCATGTAATCCACCAATACATGTATATTTAGAAGACAGCCCCACTAACTTCAGTGGGATCCACTCCCAGATAGATTGCCTAGGGATACATCCTTACTTACTTATGTTGTAGGAGAAGAACAAAAGAATGCGAGCAAGGTGAATAATTTCTAGAAAATCAGTGTGGAATTTGTTTGGAGGGGAAATATGCTTGTCTAAAATTAACTTACTTTGAAAAATTTTAAGTAGAAGAGTTTCTATATAGTTTATCAAAATATTTAAAAGAAGTGAATAATTGAGATGGAAATATGTATCAACGTGTGTCTTGTTAGAAATTTTGAACCTTATAATTTGTTAGACTGTGTAATCATCTCTTTCAAGTGGCATATAATTGCTATTAGTTTATGTGGTGATGGTTGTTACTAAAGTAACTCACTGATATTAGAATCTCTTACAGAATGAATTGAATCCTAAAGAACAGAATGAGGCTAATGATGTAATGGAGAAAACCAACAGAGATTCAAATCTGGATAAAACAAACCTTGTTGAACCTAGCCAAGTGCAAAAGCCTTCAGAAAGTAATGGAGATGAAACGAAACATAGTAGCAGTGAAGACGGGATTGTGAAGCAAAATGCTCCGGAAACCCCAGAAATTCAGGGGAAAGAGAACAGCTCGTGTGGATTGGAAGAATCCAAAGAGAAGATTATAGAAACCTTGAAGCCATCTGTAAGTTTAAAATGGATTCACTCTTGTGTATCTTTAGAAGAGGAAGCCAATTTGGCCTCTCATAACAAGGAAACGGTAATGAGTAAATGTAGAATTTTTCCTGTGTACCTAGAGCCGATTCCTACAGGGATAGGAAGACATGCACAGAAAAGACAATAATTTTTATTTTTTTTTTAAGTAAGAGGAATTGTTAGATTGTAAGATATAATTTTAAATCCATTTCAAGAATACTTCTTTCCCTGATTTACATAGCTGTTCTCCAGATGTCTTTAATCTTTCACCAGAAGAAACAAGTAATTTTTGGACCTGTTGAAAATGCCATTTCTTTTTTTTTTAAGTGTGTGTATTGTATGTATGTTTTGTGTGTGTTGTGTGTTGTCTTTACTCAAAAAGACAAAATAAATTTAATTTATTAGTTAACTAGTCTAGGTAGAAATGCCATAGCAGCATTTTAAGAATACCACGGATTGATTTCAGGCTCCAGTTGTGGAATTGGGTGATGTAATTCATTTAATAACAAACAATTCTGAGCTTCAGTTTGATAATGAAAGAGTGGGGAGGTAGCTTTTTTGCAATTTATACACGTTGAGCATCTACTCCTAGATAGGAAATATTTTAAGCAGTGTAGAAAGTGGTATTGGGGATTTTGAGAGATGAAGACAAACTGACAGAAAATAGTTTTCTCCCCCTTTCAGCTACTGTCACCGTTGTGCTATAGCACAATCTTACATGATTTAAGTATTTGCTTTAAAAAGACAGTGGGGTCCTCGGTGCTCTCTGCACTTGGTTGTTACCAAACTAGGTATCATCAGTGCACAAATATTACCTAGTTTGGTAGTGAAACATCTGCAAGAAAGCAACCAAGCTCAGTGAGCACCAAGGACCCCTCATTTCAACCCTGAGCTACAAATATTCTCTTCTACCAGTATAGCAAACACTTTTCTCTCTTGTGAAATTAATTATCTGACAATAGCAATTCGTATGAAATTTATGGAAGTTATAGACAGGATGCTGCTTTCATACCATATTATGAAGCATGTGGGAAAGATTTCCAAGACTTCAGGTGTTATTTGTTGATATACAATGACTTTCTGAATTTCTGGAACGAGTAGGTGGTAACTTAAAAAGTTGGGCAGCTACTTAGCCCTTCAGTGAGATTCGCTTCTAAGTAACTCCGTAAAGATTAGAAATTTACATTTTCAATAGAAAAAATACGTTGTATAACACCCAAGTGTATCTAACAAGGACGTCACACGTTTGGAGTATTTAGCTTTCTGTGTCATATTTTTCTGGCTCTGTTTCTACTCCATTGCTCTCTCACTGGATGGAAAAAGTAACTTCTCCACAAAGGACTTTTGGTACACCTTAAGCAGGAAAGAGAAATTGTTGCAGGAGAAAGATCAGATTGGTAGCTATACTAACCCTCTTCTGTGATAAGATTTAAAAATAGAGGGCTAAAAAAATCTGTACAAAGATTTAGTATAGCCTTTCCCCCTCCTTTGGACTGTTGAGGGCAACAGCTTCATATGGATTAATTGAATGCTTGACTCACCAGCACAACAGAGGTTGTGACTTGTGAAGACATTTGGCAGAAGGCTCTTAAATAATTGAAATCTTCTCCTTACAGGAACAGTATCAGAGGAACACTGCTTCCTGACAGACCTCTCTCTACTTTACCAAATAGAAGCCTTTTTTAAAAAAAAGAAATATTTTTAATGAAAAAGAATGCACCATTCTGAAATGAGAAAATTATTCACTTGGTAACCCCATTGCATCTTGATTAATCAGGATATTTTTCTCCTGGCAGCGCCAAGGCATTTTGAAAGCATCTTACAGAATTATGTATTAAGTATATAAAACATGCAAGAATGTGACTTCAGAGTGAAATAAAAGATTTACCATACATGGGACTTTAGTGTAATTTTTACTGTGTTCATAAATAGCCCAAGGAACAGTTCATTTTAGTTACAATCCAAAGGCAATCATAAAAATGAAATTGGACCATAAATTAGCTTAATCAAGCTTAATTAAGTTAGGCTTTGCGAAATAGTTGGGACTTGCTATTAATATTAATTTCATATTAATATTAAAACAGAATCAAAAATGGTTTGCATGTATTCTTGTGAATGTCCTAGTAGTCCACAGAATACAATTTAATGAATGCAAATACTTGAAATCTGGAGCGCTGCCTGGCATTCTACAGAAATGAAGACCAAAGGTTAGCAATACCAAGAGGTAAGGAGCACTTGGAGGCTATAAATGAAGCGCTCAATAAGACTTCCGGGGAAGGGAAGGCAAACGAAAGAAGTCTCTGTGAAAATAGCCGACAGCCACACAAAGATGAAAGAATTGGTGAGTAGTAGACTGATTCCTTGGAGTCTCTCCAGATAGAGAGAAGAAGAAATTGCCCACAGGTGCTCCAGACAGCCACTCTTCATGAGGTGACTGCAGGACACCACTTTTTTTCCAGATTTTAACTTTAGAAGACAAAAGGATCATTCAACGTCATTTTTCTTGCAATTACAGTGAATCCTTTTAAAAGATGCTAAGTTCACATGCTTCACTTCTTAATCCCTTTGAGAAATTCTCTATTACCCATCTTAAAGAGGTAGAGACCTTAACAATGACAAGTTTGAACAGTTATTGGGTGAGTTCATTCAGTTCAAATCCTAACAAAAGAAAAATAAATTTCAAACTTAAAACACTTAATTTGAAATAAAGAGCAAAAAGCTAAATAAGATTTTAATCTAAGAAAGTTGTCCCACAGATACTTCCCCCCCCCCAAAAAAGCCAACCAGACTTTGTTTTTTCCTTTGAAAATGTTTTGCTTCTCATACAAGAAGCTTCTTCAGTTCTGACTGACTGGAAGGGATGCTGATGAGAAGCGTAACATTTTCAAAGAAAATAAGGAAATCCAGTTGCCTTTTGAACAAAAGCACCCTTGGGACAACCATGAATGACCTGGATGATTGAGAATCTCAATACATATCTTAGAAAGTTATAAATCATTTAAGGAACCAAATAAATCTGAATTTTTAAGATTTTGGAATTAAGTATTAAAAAATAAGCAGCTTCTTGGGGAAACAAACTTATTCTGGCAATCCTGGTTATCGTAAGTCATAAAGATTTTTCAATTCTATTTTTTGAAACTGGATACCAGAGGGGACTAAAGATTCTAAGAAGAAGGGAAAACCCCAAGCCTATTTTTGATGTTGATTAATACTGTATCTTACAAAATGACACAAAACATTATACGGAAACATGAAAGGAGAACGGAGTCAGAAATTGGTAAATACAATAGCAACCCTGCCAGTAATGATATCTGCTTCTATAGATAACACTATGTCCAAAAAATGCTAATTAATGAAAGAACCAATATGGAACAAATTTAAAGTACAAAATGTAGAGCTACGAACGACAGGCCAAAAGAATGTTTTGGAAAAGGATGTTTTACTGGATATACAAAAGAAACTGGATGAAGATTGAAAAATTAAAAAAGAAAATACAAACAATAAACTGAGACAATGACCTGGAAAATGTTTCGTATTGGATCTACAAAAGACAGTTGTTAAAGCCTTGAATAAATCTGCACAGTGAGATAAGAATTGAACTCAACTATTACAATAATACAGGTAGTCCTCAAATGATAACTGTAACAGAGCCTGCCCATTACAGTTGAAAGTCATGGCAACCATTAAGTAAAGCACCCACATGGTTGTCTCACAAATCCCCATACTTGCTCTTCCCAATGTGGCTGTTAAATGACCATGTGGATCATTAAATGGAGCACAGGTTTCTCAGGCCCCAAGGGAGAACTTGGGAAGCCTAGCACAGGCCCTGCCCTGGGCCTCTCAAGACCTCCTCTGCCCCAAGGCACCCCATACTCTGCTTCATGCCCCTCGGGGTCCATGCAGATCTTGGACCTGCTTCCCACTCCTGGTCCCACATACTTCTCTCCACCTACCCCCATTATCGATTGCTCATATACTTTTATGGGATAAGTGAGCTGGAGCACTGCAACATCTCTACTGCAGTCATAAGGCGAACAACCACGGGCATTAGCGGTCGTACCTTCAGAACCCGGCCATAAGTAGCTTTTGGGGGGTGATTCACTTGTAACTTCAAATGGCCAGTTATAAGTTGAGGATTATCTGTATTTGATTGAATCAAGGACTATTAGAAGTAAAGGAATAAAAAGTTGGTTTATTTGATCAAGTTTAAAATGAGACTTTTTTGTTGTTGCAAAGTTCTGGCAACACTTCATGGTCTGTTTCCTGACACCAGGATTGAAAAGTTGAAGTTTTATGGATTTGCTTTTGGATAAGGGATGAGATATGCGATGAAGGATATCTGTAACCTTACAGAGGGTAAAAAGTTATTAAATTTGCTTATACTTGTTCTGATTAATATTAGAAGTAACTTCACTATATATTTTCTCTTTCTTCAAGTTTATGTTATTGTAATCAAAATTCTTAATAACATTTATTTAAAAAGAGAGCTCAGTGAGAGGTGATAATGAAGCCTTTAAGTGCTTTGTTCATGGCTTAAACTGAATCGGTTTCTTTTCCTTGCATTGGCTTAATACTCTTTTATAGATAAAAAGATAAAAAACACAACAGTATTAAAAGTTTTTTAAAAAACCACCATAATACTGTTCATTTTAAAACCTTCTGTAATATGTAAAAATTAGAAAAAAAATTGAATTTATTTCTACAGTTTACATATTTTAGCAGAAAAAAATTGTCCTAAATTTCTGACAAAAGTACCTTAAACATAGATGCATTAATAAAGGAAAACAGTACATCTACATGAAGGGAAATGAACAGAAAGGGAGACAATATGGAAATAAAACACTATACAGCTGACTTTCAACAACCAGTATTCAATATCTGATTTTTAAGCAGTGGTAGTAATGACTGTACCGTATTCTATGTACATATACTGAATATTTTCAATATATATATATTTCCCCTGAAGGCATTATATGTAAAATATCTGCTGCAGCTTTACATAATCATCCCTTGTTCTTTCACATGCGTTTTAAGTCCATTAGGTAGAACTTGGCCTCTTCAGATTAGATGGTGGAAAGACTCTCTGTTCATCCATTCTTTTCTCCTGCGATCTCAAAATAAGGCTGAAGAAATCTTCATCGGGAACAGTTGGCCCTTTTGGAATGTTTGGTGGTGGTTCACATCTCTGGTCATCTAATCGAGAGCCCTAAAAAAAAAAAAAGACCACATTAAAACCACTGTTTTATTTTAGTTTCAGCTAGTCCATTTTTCCAAGGAAAGCCTGCTGGCAGCCATTTTGAACCTGAGTGTCTTCCAGAATCATTCTGAACAGTTATTCCAACAGACTAATGACTTAAAGTTTAATATTCATTTGATGAAAAAAGAATTACATGTTGTTCTGTCCCCGTCTGACACACACACCCAAACAGCCAGCCGAGGGTTAAATAACTTCTCCACACTCCACGCCACAGATAAGAAACTTGGCAGCAGCTCCGTAGCTGCCTGCCAAGCACTTTTACTCAGAGAACACAGAAACAAAAAACAATACACACAGTTTGAAATTCAATCCACAGCAAACTACTTCGCCAGAGATTTAGCTTTGTCCGTCAGAGTCCAAATGGCCACCACCTCCCTTTTATAGCCTGTGGGGTGTGGTCCAGTGACTCAGCTTAATCTCTGGCACGCCTCCTTTTCTGCTGCGCACGCTTGTCGCGCCTACGCTGGCGTGGATCCAGCCACAACGTATCTTCATCACTATCCGAAACACCTGGCTCCTGGCCAATCTCAGAAACACCTGGCTCCTGGTCAATCTCTTCTCCATCGGGAGACACCTGAGGCATTGCCAGAGAGGAGGGTCCTGGAGAGGGAGGCCTGGCCATCTCCTCTCCTTCATGTTCGGAGCCTTCTTCCTCCAATAAGAGGGGCTCACAAGACGGAGCCACAACACATGTAAAAGTAGACCCAGAAGTCGATACAGGAGAGCGAAGAGGCTGGCATTGAAATGCTGCCCGTATCCCTACATACACATCAGCTGCCAGCAAAGGGATCAAACCCTTCAACCTTAAGTTTCCTTGTTGGATAGTAACTTATGGGCAAACGATTGCACTCCTACACACTTACCTGGGAGGATGGCCCACCAACAGTACTTATTTTTAAATACGAATGGGATCCTCCAAGATACATTAATATACAGTATTCCTCATAGCACTTCAACTAATATGTTTCCTACCAAACTGAGCCTCCAGGAAACAAATGGGGTGGTACTTGCTGCTTGAGGGGAGTGAAGCTGCATCTGAAATACTTGGAAACACAGTATCCAACTGAGTTTTCATTAAAAAATAAAACAATCTAACTTAACTGTGTACAATGGTAATCTGTTAAACTTTGGAATATCCTCTACGAATATCAAATGCTTTAAGTGCCTATCCTTTATCCGGGCAAAATACATTAACAGAAAAGAAGAAAGTATCAAAGGCTGAGGAAACCCTAAATATTAGGAAAATACAAAATAATTCTGAAAACAAGACTTTTTAAAATTTTATGTTAAAACTACATAAATCTTTGCAAGCGACTGAGCACACAAATGGGGATTTTGCATGCATCCATAGTGAGCACTTCAATTTTGAACTCATTTGTGTGCTGAAACATATGTCTGTTTTTTCTTGATAAATATAGGCTTTTGTGCTAATAAAAGAAAAGAACAGGATATCCGCAGGCAGATAAAAAAAATACACAATAATGACTATACTCAATCTGTCAAAACACTGATCTGTGCTTAATTTAGATTTAAAATGCACCTTTAAAAACAGTTCACTAGAAAAACAACATTGTTTAGTAGAAACAATCATCGCTTAAACGTGATTTTGGAGAATTGCTTTGGACCTTGCATGGAGACATATAGCATATATATACTATTCATTAAATCAGCCTGACTTTTTTCAGGTTTCTATATGGTTCACTATGAATAAATAGTATTTTACCATCATTGTTTTTACACAAATACACCCCCCCCCCCGGATATATACTTTCTATGCAGAAATAGTTTTAAAGTTTACAACAGAAACTCAATTTCATCACTCACTATGACGCACATTCATTTTGCTGCAATACGTTTATGGCTGTGCTGTGCATCGAAATGTGCAGCAGTGCGAATGCATCTCTTATCTACAATCCATTACAATCATGTAACTAAAAAGTCACAAAAACGCTGCAATCGTGCATCTGATGTATTTCTTCAACAGCACAGTCCTGTTATTTTTAACATGCCTATGTCAAATATGTTGGCATATTACCATTTAAAATGCTTAACGGAGAAATACAAAGGGTAATAACCATCTAAGATCTTTCAGCAATTATTTTAACACTCTAGAAGAGGCACAGATTTCTGACGTGTTTATTAATGTATTACAAGGCAGGAATACTATTTGGAGCCCCATTACGATTTAAGATAACATCTAGGCCAGGGGTAGGCAACCTTGGCTCTTTTATGACTCGTGGACTTTAACTCCCAGAATTCCTGAGCCAGCCATGCTGGCTCAGGAATTCTGGGAGTTGAAGTCCACGAGTCATAAAAGAGCCAAGGTTGCTTACCCCTGATCTAGGCTGAGAAGTTGGTTTTAATAAAAGCAGGAACTGGAAAATCCAATATACTCTTCTATTTTTGATCTGTTGTCAAGGGGTTGAACTTACCATTATGAGATAAAACTACTTAATTAGCATAAAAAAGATTTTAAATAAAATTATCATATGTGTTTTTTTAATACTTCTAAATTTACTGAATGATTCAACTGACAAAAGATATCACCAGGAGATTCTATTAAACAACACCAGTACTTGTTTTAGAATGTCTTTTTAAGAATGCATGCCACACAGAATATCCAATCAACCAAAAACTCACCTGGCATTTTATTAATATATCAAAGAAGTCATCATCTGGTTCGCTGTTCTTGCTGGCCATTAGGTGACCAAGGACTGACTGACTATTATGCTGATTAAGACGAAGTCCAGGTAAATTGCTGGCACTGGCTCGCTGATCATCTAATCGCCTACTCTGAGAACTAGCAAGCATATCTAAAAATTCATCTGTATGTGGAGAGAGCATTGAAGCAGAAAAGGCTGTAAAAAAATTAAAAACAAAAAAAACTTTATATGTAGAAAGCAGCAAGGGGTGCAACAGTATACTGGTTAAAGTGATATCTAATTTCATTTAAAGAGGTGGCAATGTTATATAGGCTTTAGAATTAATTACATTTTTGCATAATTCTGGATGGGGTGGCAGAAGCAGCCACTGTCAGTCTGTTCCTGTCCTGGAAACAATATCGCTGATCATCCATACGGTTGCTCTGAAATCGGCTCAACAAGTCAAAAAATCCTTCGTCTCCAGGGACTTCTAAGCTGCTTTTCTTAAAAATAATGAAGAACAAAAGTAAATACAAATAATGCCAACCATTTATGAAACAGTAGGAGAATTTTAATTCAACCTACATAAATCAGATTAAGTATTATTATGGAAAAGAAGTGGGAAAAGTCCAGTGAAGAAACACTAAAAATATTGGGGCTATAAAGTAAGTTTGATATAATGCTATTTCAACATAAAAGAGCATTTCAACCTAATTTCTCACTGGTAGATACAACTTTATCATTTATTCATGCGCATCAACAATACTATTTTCACTTCACTTCTAAATGTTTATTCATATATAAATATTATTTAATTGATTTCTAATTTGTCGTCTTACAATTAGTCTGAGATAATCTAAACGTTAATTATATGCTCTGAATCAGTTACAGTTGGAATGGCATGTAAGCCTAGTAATTAAATAAGTATACATGAGAGTTTTCATTTTCAAAAATTAGGCAAAGCAATAAAAATTGGCATATTTCCAAAAATGTTTTATATATATTACATAAAATAAAATATTGAAGTTTTAAAATGTTTATTTCTCCACAAATACCTTCTGTGAATTTAATCGATGGTCAATAGAGTTACTAGCATCCTGAAGAACTTTAGAAGAAGTAATGTTTTTGTATTTTTTCCCTTTTAATCGATTTACAAAGTACAGTTTTGCTGAAGGTTTGGGAACCAATGGTTTCTGTTTAGCTAGAATTTCACTGTTCCAATCCTGAACCTAGGAAACAGGTAACAATGTATACTAAAACGCTATCCAGAAAACAGTTTTTCAATAATATGAAATGCAAAAATGCAAGTTAATTTAATTTTTCCACCTCTATTAAAACACAGCTAATTTATTCATGTTTGTAAAACTAGTGCTTTAACCAACAATACAAATCAAATTTGACCATAATTGCAGGAAAAAACCCTTAACAGTAAATCCTATGTTTCCAAGGTGCTAAACATGAATCTGGCAATCAAGCTTGGGGTCACATCAATGTACACAGATTGTACACAGATACAATAGCCTTGTTTGTCCGGGACTTCCGGTGGCAGGCGACCTCGTTGGAAGCAGCTGTTTGCTGCCTCCCGCCTGTTTCAGCGTAAAAGCCGTTTTGACAGCTAGCATCAGCTGTAAAACGGCTTGATACCTTTCCCCTGGGCATAAGGGGATAGGTGAGCTGCCCGGGGTAGGAGTTGAGTTCCCGAGTCGTCCCATGTGGACGATGTAGGTGAGANTTTACCTACTCATGTAGAATAATATACTTTGTGGAGTTAGAGATATTAATATTTGTTTACTTATATTTGAATATTATCCTGGGATTAGGTTTGGGAAGTCCGGGGGGGTGGGGGGTGGGTTTTCTTACAGTATTGTGTAATATTTGTGATGTTTTTTTCTATGATGAAAAATAATAAAAATTTTATATTGAAAAAAATAAAAAATAAAAATAGCCTTGTTTGTCCCAATGCTTTATATCAGTGATGGCGAACCTATGGCACGGGTACCAGAGGCGGCACTCAGAGCCCTCTCTGTGGGCACGCCTGCTGCCGCAGCCACCAGCTCGCACAGGTCCATTAGGCCACTGCTGGCGCCCGGAGTGCCAACCCCATCCAGCACAAAGGAGGCGAAGCAGCTGGCTAGCAAGCTCGAGTAGAGGCGGTAGAGCGCACCCCATGCGCTCGCTAGCCTCTGTGTGCAGGGGCTGGTGGTGTCAGGCAGCAGCCGCCCCTGCCTCGCCTTGCCCCGCAGCAATGGCACCCCCGCCCTACCCCCTGCCTCACCCCGCAGGATGCGCCACCCACCACAGGCCCCTTGGATCTCCCCCAATCCTGCCCAGCCCCCACAGGAATCCCCCCACGAGCAACATCAAGGTGGCCACACCCACCCTGGCCACACCCACTCAGTCTGCCATGACCACCGCAGCCACGCCTGCCCCCACCCCCGAGGACACCACAATGCTGACGCGGCCCTGGCACTTTGCGATACATAAGTGGGTTTTGGGTTGCGGTTTGGGCACTCGGTCTCTAAAAGGTTCGCCATCACTGCTTTATATAGTTAAGGTAATCATTAAAATATTTGGCCCGTGGTCTATTGGAAAGCTAAAGGTTTTCTGCAGGTCTCCTCTCCTTCTTGCTCTCTTTTAACATGCCTTTGGGATCTGAACAGTAGAATTCACAGAGGGAGGGGGCGTATGAAATGTCAAGGATTGGGTCAGGGATGACTCCTTGATCTCTTTAACCTCTTCCCACAAATGCTACATACGAAGAAATGTTACTAAGGGCCCCAGAACATTTGTCACATGACAAAAGGTCTGAAAATCCAGCCAACCTGATGTCCAGGCAGATCTCCATTCCAAACTAAAAATGAGGGAAAAGAGAAACTATTGTTGGATAAGCTTGGAGGTAAATAAGAGCAATCTAGGGGTTGCAGGGAAAAGGAAAAAAAAGAGAGGGAAATTTTGGAATCCATTTGAAGGTTAACTCTAGATCAGAGTAACTAATTTGCTGATTTCCGATATTATCATTTTGACTGGTAGTTCATTGCTGTAATTTAAATGAATCTATAAGAAATATACCTTTATTATAGGAAGAACTACTGGTTAGACACTGACCAAGTTAGTTGTACTAAAATTTTCAAATTTACAAGATTTTTGCACAATTTAATCTAGGAACAAAAAAAAATCCATAAGGGATAAGGCATTTATGGTAGAAATATGTATACTTTCTTTCATACCTATACAATTACAAAAGCAATGCATTCTTATCTGTGAATCTGGACCCAATGTTATGAAATATTTTTTTACAAAGCCACTTCCACTTAAAGGACACCAACCTTCTCAGGTGTTAGTTTCATAAGTTCCAATTTTTCCATACTATGGCGACGTCCTAACCTCTGTTTAGTGCCTAGAATTACAAAAAATTAAGTAATTAAATTACTTTGAAAAAACATACAAGGAGCAACTTAATGGAGTTATTAACTTATATTTACTGAAGATGGACCACCCCACTGAGACTAGTAACAGCAACTCTTCTAAATTTGATTGCAAAAGCACTGAACATCATGCTGATATAACTATTAATTTGAGGTAAATTTTTAATTTTTCTTTACAATATTAAAAAAGGCATTTAAAATGTTTCAATGGAGGCAAAGGAAACCATTTAAAAGCCCAAATGCTGAAAGACATGACTCTCTGTCCACTTAACCTGAATAGTGAGCTAGGTATCTTACTGCAGGCATGTAATCTTCAACAATTGCTGAAGAAGGGAAGGGATAACTTGTTCTACCTCCAACATTTTGTCTCTGCTTACAATTTTTTTTTGCCACAAAGTTTAGTAGCTGCAAGCTGTCTTTAAAATAACATATACATTGCCTTGTATACATTTTGGTGTTCCTCATCAAACATTTAGGTTAGACTTAGAATCCAATCCAGGACACATCTACACATCATTTCCTTAGCACTGATAATGGCCCGTATTTATTGTTGAACAATGTGTCTACAAATGAGCATGGCTGCAGCCATTTTTCTTCTCATTCTAGGTTCCCACATAGAACGGAGGGAGGGGGGTTGCGCAGGTGCTTCATTAGTCAAAATAATTTTTTGTCCCGAGGGAACCAAGGTCATCGGCTGCTCCCAAGACTAGGGACTGGGCGTTGCATAAAAAGCCTGCCAAATAATCATATTGGGGAATATAGTTGCTTGCATAATTTTATGGGTGGGACATTTAACTTTGTATTGGGAAATTGTTACTTGTGTATCCAGACTTGGTTTCACTCTTGACCATGCTGATACTTTGTAACTAATAAACATGTTCTTTGAGGAATTTGCAAACTTCGGAGTTCTGCTTTATTTGTCTCTGTCTGTTGGAACCATGACACAATGTGGTTCTTATAATATTTCATTTTTCAATCTTTTTGTAAGAAATTTATACAAGGAGATTGTAGCTTCATTAGCTACAAAGCAACAAAGATTAAACATCTTTTTTGCACAAATTAAAATAGGAACAAACAGAAACTATATACAACATTTCTATGGTGGAAACTTCTATACTAGTAGAACTTCTATATTTTCCTCCATATCTATGATAGGTTTTATAGGATCAATGCATTATTTTCTCTTCTTTATATTTAGCAGAAGCATCCAGCAGAGTTCACTTATTGTATTGCCTTTTAACTCGGGAGATTAATTCAGAAATGTTACTTTACTTTTATCAAGATTCTGGAACACTTTCTACAACTCAAAAGAAAGGGAAATTCTTATTATACATTCCTTCCCTCTATGTCACCACCAAGAGATTCCATCCATTACTATTTCTCCTAATAAACAAAATTTGTATAAGCTCACCTTGGCAATTATTTTAAGAATACCCTTTGGAAGACACAATAAAGTATAATTTATTCAAAATATTATTTCATCTAAACCTAGTTCCTAATACATATCTGTAAAACCATTTGTATAAATTATTTCTACATTATTACTTGAGATACTGAAGTGACTTGTAGGAATAGACAAGTTATGTATTTGTTATTAGAAAATAAATCAAAACCAGAGTAGCCATTCCAGATGAAAGCAACTTGTGTGGAGATAAACCAAGTGACAGGAACAAAGGATTTTATACAAAGACACATGCACACACATACACTCTCTTTATACCATCATTTCTTATAACTCTACAAAATGTAATAAAAACTCTAAGTGATATACAATAAAAATATGAGTAATGAAAAGCAAGCAATTACATATAAATTATGTTCATATGGAATTATAACCCAGGATTTGGAAAATCAAGACTTATTGTTAATTAGCTATACACTCGTATAGCAACCTATTCATTTTCAATTGATTGCACCTATCCTCAATAGGTGGTTTCCTTAGCACTGATAACGGCAGTAGAGACCATACATTCTTCCGTAGATAATAGAAAACTTGGCTGATTTCTCAAAGGGATGAATTTTGGGAACACAGAAAAAGTATGAAATAAGAGCAGGTCATAAATAAGAACAATTGCCATGAGTCTATTTCCTAAGTGCCTGGCAGCGCTTACATGTATCTACTGTATGATTTTCACTGAGCCCCAAGTTTATTTTCATTTGAGAGGTAAGTGTATTCCTGTAATGCAGGCATGTGCAAAATAGGACTATTAAGGCCAGATGTCTGTGGGAACATAAGATGTCCCAATGAATAATGCAGAGAAGTTAATGACACAGCTAATATGATGCACACAGGAAGCAAGGTTCTCACTAAACTTTAAAAGCTCTGCAGTGTTTTGAATGTAGCTCTTTTGCAGGTGTGGGTCACATTTTGGTAATCATAGAGAACACAATAAAGAACTGAAGATTAATAAAGAAGAATACTAAAATGTATTGGGCATATTTACCATTATAGTTATAATCTGGAATCTGATTTTCAGTCATCACTGAGTTGTTTGTGCTGAAACTAAGACCAAGTACCATTTGAAGATCTGAGAGATTAAGTTTAGCTGTCAGTTCTCCAGTCTTATCTCCAACCTGCAATCAAAGGTATTACATGCTTTCTGTAAATGATTTTATTTCTTTAAAACAATGTGAATCATACTCATCAATCTGAAACAATCCTAGAGTGGCTTACAAAATATAAAACCAAAACAATCCCTACCCTCAAGACTTTAGTGTTTTTCCTTAATTTTATTTACTCAATTTATTCCAGTTACATACAGTACATATACTGTTTTATTTGAAAAATGCACACAACAAAGAATTAAGAATATGTGCACATACCTCTCTTGAAATATCTAAATGCTTTTCTGCATAATGCATAGCTTGATCATGGTTCCCCAAAGCTGTGCATGCATTCCCTAAACTCCAGCATGCTCTTCCTTCACCAATTCTGGAACACAGTTCAATAATATACAGATCAAATATTCCAGTTAAAAATAAAAGAGAACTTTTAAATACATTTAAACAAATAAATTATTTCAAATAGATACCGTATGTACAATTAAAGGACCCTTGAAGACCTTATGCATAGTCTCCAAACTCATTCTAAGAATTTGTTGTTTTGTTTAATCTTTAACAGGAGAAAAACAAATATAATATGTAAGGTACATTAATTTTATCACATTAACTATAACGTACTTTAATTACATTTATCAAAATCAGAATTTTGAGTTGTTTTGCCTATCTCAATATATCAGCCTTAAAATGTTTTTAAAAATTATAGCAATATTTCAATTAACAAATTGCTGTGCAACTATAAAGCTTAGATATTGAAAGCACATTAATCTCTGTGATAATGCTAATCAATACAGAATATTTATTCATTATTGGAATATTTTTAGAAATTAAACATTACATAACTTATTATCTTCCTTAGTTCAAAAATGCTTCATTTTCTGCTGAAAAAAGCTTTCCAAAAAAATTATAATGGAGAAATTTTAAACGATCACTTCCATATTAATGCCAAAAAAGTTGCACAGTTGAGCCCATATAAGAATAACACTTGATTTAACAGAGTCCTTAACTTTATGAATATCTACATCTCAAATGATTGATAAACTCATGGATTTGGCTAAAGTTGCTCATTCAGACTGTTGTATCGTATTTCCCCCAAAATAAGACCTAACCTGAAAATAAGCCCGATCTTGATTTTGGAGGATGGGCCTAATATAAGCCCTACCCCCAAAATAAGCCAGGGGAGTGGGCATGACCAGCACAAACGGCAGCGAGTGCACGGGGGCCAACAGTGTCTGGCAGCAGCCACAGCTCACCGGCCCTTTGGAGCAGCGCAGGTAAGTCCAGCACAGAGGCGGGGAGGGAGGCAGGCAATCTGGACATGCCGCACACTTTTCGGAGAAATGACAGAGACTGAAAACTTCGTCTGCTTGAAAATGGGGAAGATGAAAACGGAGGGATTCGCTCCGTTTCCAACCGGCCCATTTTTAAGCAGACGAAGCTTCCATTCTGTCATTTATGTCTGGGCAAAAAGTTTTGGGCACCCCATAGGCACTCAAACACTTCTCGCCCAGAGGGAGACTGGAACCTTCGTCTACTTCAAAATGGGGCCGTTGGAAACGGAGGGATTTGCTCCGTTTCCAACGGCCCCATTTTTAGGCAGATGAAGCTTCCAGTCTCTGTCAACATAAACAGCAGAATCCCTCCCCCTGGGATGGAGCACTCCGCCGCTACCATTGCTTCCCCCTCAGAACTGTAAGGCAGCACCTGACTCCTTTAAGCCAGCAGTAAAGGTGTAGCTTGAGAGGCAGCGATGGAGTGTAGCCCAGGAGCAGCAGCAAAGCAACAGCAGAATCTCCCAGGATGCCCTCGCCAGCTGCATGCTACCAGTATTTACTGGTAACACTAAGGGCCCAGATCTTCACCGCTGGCTTGGCTTGCACAGGATTTTCACGCACGTCGGCTGGCTTGGGAGTCAGCGTTTGGGGGGGAAAGGCGCAGCCCAGTGGCAACAGCAACAGCAAAAGCGGAATCCCCCCCGAGATGGCTGAAAGGCATGAAAGTGGCCAGGGGCAGCCCCATGCCCGCTTCACACAGCCAGCATTAGAGATGGAGCGCCTGGCAGGGCCCAAACAGCATGGGGCTGCCCCTGCCCCCCCTAACACCAGCCAGATGCCCCAAGCATTTCTTTGCTTACCTGATTTCCAGACCCGTCGCGTTCCTCTGACGCTACGTGCAGGGAAACAAAAGAAGTTTGTGGGACTAAAAAAAAACACCTTCAATCAATGCCAACTTCTGATGGAAAAAAAAGAATCTTGCGAAGTTGGAATTGATTGATTGAACTTTTTTTTGTCCTATAAACTTTTGTTTCCCTGCACGTGGTGGTGGAGGAACATAACGGAGAAATCCGACAGAAACGCAAAGGAGCTGGAAATCAGGTAAGCAAAGAAATGTGGAAAGTGAGGGCATCTGGGCAATGTTGGGGAAGCTCTCCAGCTCCGCGGCAGCAGAGAAATGCAACAGAGCTAGAAAGCAAGTGCCAGGCAAACCTCCTAAGGGTGCCAGGCACTAAAACGGGCCTACTGCTCTCCCACAGCTGCCCAGGCCCGCTGGAGGGAAGGCCAACATCTACTGGCACTTACAGTAAATGCAGCAGTATTCCGGCTCTGGCAGGGAAGGGGTAGCTGGCATGGGCACTGACGGCAGGACGCCCGTTCGCTTCAGCACCCTCCCTTCCCAATACTCCAATGCTCCACCTGCCGCTTTGGCCCCGGGCTGCCGCTTCCTCACTCACCTCTCGGGCGGGCCATGCCAGGAAGGCGGCCCCCAGCATCCCCAAGGCAAAGGCTCCCTGCTCCACCAAGGGGGCATCGGCCTGGCTGCCACCACCTTAGGGCCCTTCCGGGGCTGCTCGGGCTGGCCTGACATGGGAAGGGCACACATGCCCGCCCACCGGCCTGAACTCTGTCATACAGTACCTTTACCGTAGTTGGTTTGCCACCACGCTCCAAGGTTGGCCCATTGCCGCACTGCGTCTCGACTCCATGCGCAGGCCACACCCCACCACCACACACTCACCGCCTGCTGGTAAGACACCCCCCCAAATAAGTCCTAGTGCTTATTTTGGAGCCCAAAAGAAAGTAAGATCAGGTCTTATTTTCAGGGAAACACGATAAAAATATAAAATGAGCCATGCTGAACCAGTTTAAATACCTATTTAGTCTCCCAGTTTTTCCACTTTGCAGCCAGATGCCAATAGAAAACCGCAGATCTTTGATTTGTGCTCCAACGAACTAACGAAGGAGCAAACTCCTCCAATAACAGACAGAATATCTTTATTATTGCAATTAATAGTACAATTCTCTATTATACCATTTAGCACGGGGATCCTGTCTATATAAATAAGGCAATATTCTTATAGGGAACAAAAACTGTATTACTATATAGCAATGAATTTAAAACTCTTACCTATCATTTAGTTCTTCAGCAATTGCTAAGTGTTTCAGATGATAATCTATGGCCTTCTCATAATCCTGAAGTAAGGTATAGGTATTTCCAAGACTATAACATGCCTGTGCTTCCACAGCCCTATCTTTAAGCTGCCTTGCAAGCTGTAATGTCTTCCTAAAGGACAAAGAGATACAATATTTACTTATACAATTCAAACCACCATCAATGTATCAGAATACAGTAATGTACAGTAATGTGATTTACTGGATCTATTATATCATTCAATGCAATATATACCATTGCTCTTTAAATAATCTGGGAAAATATTTTAAAAATTAAACGTCCTTTTAAAATTGGTATATATTATAGCATACATTAATGAAAATGTTTTGCTGCCATTTACCTATTTGTCAACCAGATAATATGATAAATAAAAATCAGTGGAATATGTGGAAGTGACAGATAATCAGCATGTCAGGAAAGCTAGTCAATCATTAAAAATCTGACAATTTCTCAAATTGTTTTTGAAATTTACCAACATGAGAATGTTGCAGTACTGCTTTATAGACAATATTACATACTCTTATTATGTGTCATCAAGCTGGTATTGACTTTCAGTGACCACCTAGATAGAATGATATATTCCCGAGCGTGGCCCTTCAGGGGAAAGCAAATTCAGACTTGCAAGATTCTGTCACTGTAAGTCAGGGGTGTCAAACTCAATTTCATTGAGGGCCGCATCAGCATTGCGGTTGCCCTCAGGGGGCCGGGTGGGTGTGGCCAGGGTGGGTGCGGCCTACTGGGTGGGCATGGATGGAGTGGATGTGGCCTACTGGGTGGCCTACTACATCGTTCGCGTCAAGGGTGCCTGTGGAGGCCTGGGCAGGAGTGGGATAGATCTGAGGGTCTCTGGCAGAAGGGGGTGGGACCAGGGCAAATGCCAAGGCATGGTCCACTGGAGGAGCCTCACTCTTCCTCTCAGGCCATGCGGGGGGGGGCTTATGGAGCTAAGACTGAATTCGTTTCAGTATAGATGGCCACCACAAAATTGTACATTGGCTCCCGGCCGGCCTGGGCCAGGGCCAAGGCAGTGGGGGCCGTTCCCTCACTGTTTCCAGGATGGCTTCGCGGGCCACATGAAACCACTTCGCGGGCCGCATCCTGCCCCTGGGCCTTGTGTTTGACATGTCTGCTGTAAGTGTTACAATAAAAGTAATTCTGACTTATATGTATTGTTTTCTTACCTTGTTGGGCTGACACTACCAACTACCAAGCACAATTCAAAGTGCTAATTTTTATTTATAAAGCCGTTGATAAGCTTAGTACTGGGTTACCTGAAGAATCACGTCTCTCTACTGGAATTGATGCATTCACTTCAATCATGCCAAAAGAAACAGCTGGCTATCTCTCTTTTTCAAGAGGTGGGGGGGCGGGGAATTTTCTTCCTAAACTTGAGCTTTTTTTTGGGAAGGATTTGGGGAGCCAACACCAGATCATCTTGGATTGATTTATTTTTGAATGTTGACTTTGTATTTTTTATGTATTATTCCTACAGTTTTTTAAGTTGTAAGCCACTACGAATCTGCACAGTACTGCAGTGGAATATAACTACAACAAATAATTAACCATTTGCTTCCATAGGCTACCATATGGAAAATCACTGCCTGCAGAATTCTGACTTGTATAGATCTAGACAAGACATGGCATCTGAGTTCTCTTTACCAAGGCCTTCATTGCTACCTCCCAAGTGCTAGTCTGTATTTCTAAACTGATGCTTCTTTTAGTATTCATAGTTGTTCCTAAAAGGCAAAAGCTATTCATCACTTCAGTATCTTCAGTATTAATTCTAAGCCTGGTTTTCTATCTTTTGTTATTACTTTGATCTTCTTGCTATAATTTTAGTTCCAGTTTTCACTATGGTGCTAGACTTTCATTACTACATCTTGCATATTATTTGCATTTTCAGCTTTCATCAGCACAGCACAAGTTATTGATATTTCTTCCTCTAATTTTAAAACCACACATTCCTCCAATCCAGCGTCTCTTAATATATATGCAACATATAGGTGCGTAAGGAAAGAGCATATAGTCTTGTCTCATTCTTTTGCTGACCCAAAGCCAATCTGTTTCGCCACATTCCATCTGGATTGGGTTTTCTATTCTGTATATAGTTTTGAAAATTAACATAGTGAGGTTTTGGATTCCCATTTTCTAAAGACAGCTTGAACAACCAGTATTTCCCTTTCCAAATAGTCTCTATCTGCACTAAATGATCACAAAAAGATACTTAATGTGCTATAATTTCCTAACCTTATAAAATAAATCAAGTTACATTGCTCTTAAGGAATTTAAATGAAATACCACAGAGTAATCAGATGCAATTAAAAAGTAACTGTACTTTTGCAGAATTACCAGGGAAAATATTTTGCAGATAAGTACCACCCAAAGTTCTCAGGGAGTTTATCTACCCAGATGAGTTTTTTTTATTTATTTCCAATCAGCTAAAGAAGCCGTGTTCCAAATGTCATTAGACCTGGATTCAAGATTGGGCTCCATGAAAATGAGAGCTTTCTCCATTAGCCATTTTAGAAATATGTATCTTGATACAGACTACATACTTGCTTTTGCTGGTTTTCTCTAAACAGGTTATGATCGTTCTGTTTTATGTATCTAAGGCAGCTGAAGTGTATGTGCAGCTGTTTTTTTAATGGAACTGTTTTAGTTATCTTATTGTTTTAATAGGTTTTATTATAAACCTCTTGTAAATCCTACTAAATATATGACTAAGCACTGAAAAACAAATTTAAACATGCTGCCTTAGGGTCTAGGATAGAATTTTACATCATATTTTATTTTCTGTAAAAGCTATTATTCCATTTTATGAATCAAATAGCAGGCCTTTAATACAATTTTGTACATGTTTTTGAAGCAGTGAGACCTATTGAATTCAGTCAATCAATATATGGCAATCAATTGTGGCAATTCTGTCTTTGGGAAGAAACTCAGATAAGATAGTTCAAGTATACTGTATGTTCAAAGCTCAAACACAGGAAATGCTTAACTATTCAAATAGATATTTTACCACTTTAAGTATTTTATATCTATAACGTATTAGGTTTTATAGAATTATGACTGGATAAAGTTGCATTTATTTTCTTACATGACAAATTTAAGCAACAATGTTTTATGAAAATAAAATGATGAAAACAGCCAAGAACAGAAGACAACAAATCAGTATTATTTTGAAATAGCTAAAGCTAATGAAATTATGCATATTTCAGAATGAAAACTAAAAGATCTGATTTTAAGACTTCAGTAAATCAGAGTAAATGTATTAAGAAAACAGTATAAAACAATACTCACTTATAGTATTCAGCAGCAGTTTCAAATTCCCCCAGGAAAATATAGGCATTTCCAAGATTACTGTAGGCTCTTCTTTCTGCAGCTCTATCACCAAATTCTTTTGCAATCAAAAGGCGCTGGAAAAGAATTAGCCTGTTAATTATTGTAACAGTGATCAGAATAGGAATCCTTATTCTCAATGCTATTTCCAGAACAAATAACAAAGTGAATGCTAAGATTCACTCTTTTTCCCTATCTAAAACATGTTTTTACCAGAACATTTTGTACTACAGGGAGTCCTCAAATTACGACTATAAAGGAGCCCGCCCATCGCGGTTGTAAGTCATGACAGTTATAAAATAGGGTCAAGCATGTGACTGACTTGATTTTAGGACTTTTTTTGCAGCAGTTCTTAAGCAACACTGCACGTCTTAAGCAAACCAATTGTTTGGTATGGGCGCAGTAAATGCTGGTTTTCAGCAAAAGCGCCATAAAATGCAGCCAAGCGACATGGCAAACAAACGTAAATGAGTCCTGGTTGCCAAGTGCCAGAAATTCAGTCATGTGACTGCAAGGGGAGAGGACAACCACTGGAACTTCAAATCCGGGTCCTAAGTAGTCCCCTAGTAGTTCTATCGCAACTTTAAACAATCACTAAGCAGCCAGTTGTAAGTCGAGGACTACTATATACAGAAAAGAATTTTAAAGTTCTCTGTCTCCAAAAGTGTGCTGGAAAGTAACAGCGTTGCGTGTTTCATTGTATGCTCTGTGATGCAACGTGATGTCATGCCGGCCACATGACTCCGGAAACGTCTTCAGAAAACAATGGCTCTTTGGCTTAAAAAACGGAGATGAGCACTACCCCTAAAATCAGTCATGACTAGCAGGGTAAAACCCACGGGAACACCTTTACCTCGCTTCACAGTACTATCTGTTTGTTTTTCCGCCCAATAATGCACTTTAAAATATCACATGCATAATAAATCTATATCAGATAATCTCCTGTTTACTTTTTTAAAAAGGACGTACTTTAGCTTTCTTTTATAAATGTCATAGATATTTCCTTGAATATCCATCTTTCTGTATGTATTTTGTAAGAGAAACCAAGGAAACAATAGAATATGCTTTACTAACATTATCCTAATGAAGTAAATGTACCTTTTAAACAAATAATATAAACTAAAATGAACCAAAACACACCAACATGCACTCTTTTATACCTGTTCATGGGCAGTAACAGCACTTCGGAAGTTGCCCAGAAGATAATGTGTATTTCCCAAATTTCCATAGGCACGTCCTTGGGCAGCTCTATCCCCCAATTCTGTTACGATTGTTAAGTTTTCCCTATTGAATATTCAAAGTTTTAAAAAGCAAATTACTAGGTTTATAATGGAAGAAACGTACAAGTAACAATTATGAAAAATAATTGTTCTGTTAATTTAAAACATTTTATGCAGATTGATTTAATGTTCATTATATATTACTATTTGCCATCCTCTCAAGGTGATACCCTTAAATCACTTGTGATTTCACATGCTATAAATTATAGTAACAATATTGATGGCTGCTGTCCAATAGTTCTTATTCTTCTTAGACATTCATCTTATTTCAGTTACTACTGCAGAAGAAATATGGTTGGAATTTTAAATTACACTCAAGTTTCTCTGAATTTTATATCTCTTCTAATGCACTGACATTATAAAATTGAAACTGGCTTTAAAAGAATTAAAATAACACATTTTAATGTATTATAAAAGGGACGATTAAAAACTGTATCCACCTTGAAAGACTAATCCACTACTAAAGCTTTTCTTACTGATAATAATCTGCAGCTTTCCGCAATGCAGTTTTAACATCATCTGGAAATTCCCCTGGATCATGGGTACCTGCACAAGCAACACTTTTACCCTTGGAGTGATACACGTTTCCAAGATTATACAAAGCTCTTGCTTCTCCAACCTATAAATAGAAATAAAATATTTTCTTAAAAGTTCTTATGATATATAGCTATTTGCTTAATTGAACAAAAAATAAATAAATCTCTCATTTCTTATTGTGAGAAATACAGGTGGTCTCTGGCTTACAATCGTTCATTTAGTGATGAAGTTACAACGGCACTGAAAAAAGTGACTGATGGCCAGTTTTCACACTTACAACCGCTGTAAGCATCCCTGTGGTCAAGTGATCAAAATTCAGATGCCTAACAACTGGTTCATATTTATGAAGGCTGAAGGGTCCCCGTGGTAAACACGTTTTGAGATCTTCTGACAAACTAAGGCAGGGGTGTCAAACTCAATTTCATTGAGGGCTGCATCAGCATTGCAGTTGCCCTTGGGGGGCCGGGTGGATGTGGCCAGGGTGGGTGCAGCCTACTGGGTGGGTGTGGATGGTGTGGCCTACTGGGTGGGCATGGCCAGCTCTACATCATTCGCGTCAAGGGTGCCTGTGGGGGCCTGGGCAGGAGTGGGACAAATCTGAGGGTCTCTGGCAGAAGGGGGTGGGACCGGGGCAAGCGCCAAGGCATGGTCCATTTCTTCATTCCTCACAAAGGGTGACACCTCCCCAGCATACACCCAGGGGGCAGGGCCAATGCGGCAGGAGCTGGTTCCTTGCTGTTTCTGGACGGCCTTGTGGAGCTAAGACTGAATGCGTTTCAGCATAGATGGCCACAAAGTTGTACATTGGCTCCTGGCCGGCCTGGGCCAAGGCCAAAGCAGCGAGGGCCATTCCCTCACTGTTTCCAGGATGGCTTCGCGGGCCACATGAAACCACTTTGCGGGCCACATCCGGCCCCCGGGCCTTGTGTTTTACATGTCTGAACTAAGGTAATGGGGAAGTCAGATTCACTTAACAACTGTTACTAACTTAAAAACTCCAGTGATTCATTTCACTACTATGGCAAGAAAGGTTGTAAAATGGGGCAAAACTCACTTAACAACTCTCTTGCTTAGAATGGAAATATTGAGCTCAATTGGGATTGTAAGTCAGGGACTACTTGTAGGAGTTTTCACTATTATATATTACCCCCACACCATCCCCTATTCAGATCTTACATATTTATGAGTATCATATTATGTCACAGAACAATATTTTCTTCCAAAGTCTGTTCATTTGCCAAATTTACTTTTTGATCTTCCACAGGAAGAAAGACAGCAAGAATATCTTCCTTTTTTTTTTAGTTTGAGTCAGGGAGAGAACATCTAAAGATACCGTGGCAACCAACTAAGCTTGAAAAAGTTTATCAAAACAGTATTATTCTATTGCTGATATCAGGTTCAAAGAATACACACTGTGCTTTTTCTTTCAATATTGACTGTAGTAATTTTCCTTACCTTATCACCTAGATCTCTCGAAATATCAAGGTGCCTCTGACAGCAAACAATTGCTTCTTCAAAATTCCCAAGGACCTTTAAGGTATTTCCCAAGTTGCCACTAGCTTTAGCTTCTCCTAGCTGATCCCCAATTGTTCTGAAAATTGAACATTTAGTCATTCCTTCTGCTTTTCTGTTAAAAAGTCAGCTCAATCTTGAGTGGAAGAAACATTTTTATTAAACTTGTTAGAAGTCAGTTGATCAGATACCCAATTATATAGTATAAAATATATTTTAAAAGTATTGTGAGGGTTTAATTTCTGTATGTCATTTCTTGTGAATATAATGTGAATATAATGCCTAAGACAAATTACACACCATTCTCTTGAAGAATAAAACTTTGCTATATATTATTCTGAGCGGTTCCTCAGAACAAATTTCACGGCTAAGATAATCTACTCTATTCAACAGCTTAGTCAAATGAGATGAAACAATTTTGGGCAACATTTAATTGAACAAACTTTTAATCAAAGTGATAATATCTAGATAGTTTTAAAGTACAAATAACTTTATAGCTGTTAGAAAAAATATGAGGCTGTTATTATGGGAGAAAGGTAAAATGAGTGTTAAGATTGGCTTGGAAAAAAAGTTACATATTCCTGAGATGGAAGGATATGTAAGAAAGAAATTCAAAATAATCCCACCTTGACTATGTTTAGTGTGAATAGGAAAAGGCTTTCAAGAGTTTGTCATCCCACTTTACTACAATAAAGAGCATTACTGATATCCATGCTGTGATTGTTTCTTTAACTGGCCTATCCTGAAGGACTAACATCAAGGTACCAAAATCTGCATTTACCTTGCAAGAGTTAAATCATGATGATGATATTCCAAAGCTTTTGCATATTCATGCAAATAGAAATAGGCATTGCCCAACTGGCTATAAATAGCACTAAGTGTTTTTAAGTCTTCTGTTCCAACCTGAACTGCAGCTTCAAAGAAAGATACCCCAGCTCTACAATCCCCTGCTTTACATAACCGCTCCCCTTCCAAGGCAAGCTCCAGGCATGATGCTTCCATTCTATAAATATGAAACATAAGAAAATTTGTGTTTTAAAATAATGATATTTCTTCTAGTAAGTTATTGAAGCAGAATAGAAATATTAATTTATTTCAAATACTTACTTGAATTTCAAATACTTATTGAAGCATTTATTTTTGCATCACAAGTTTAAAATATATTCTTATTAGTCCCGGTTAGAGAACGAGGAAGACCGTCGAGTATTGGCAGTGGTTAGTAACTAATGAGAGGGCAAGTATGCTGATGGAATACTGTATGTAGTATTGAGTTATCAACAGAGGCACAGGAAGTCCTCAAGTTATGACCACTTGTTCAGCAACCAAAGTTAATGACAGTGCTGAATGAATGGTATTTATGACCAATCCTTGAACTTCTGTGCTTCACAGTAACATGATCATGATTTCTTTTGTTCCCTAGAGCTTCTCACAAGCAGGAAATTTTCCCAGACACCGATCTTCAAATCTACTAGAAGGGGTAGGGAAGCTGGCAAGAAATTGCTCTTGGTCCTGCTTTTTTGCCCACCCACACTCCATAGCACCCACCCATTCTTTGGAGCACCTGCTAGGAATGGCCCTTTGCACACCCACTGGCATGGGACTCTTGCCTCTTCCCACTTAGCAACCTTTGCAGTCCTGGGGCTACAACAGCAACCAGGACTGCTGGGATTGCTGTCACTCAGTAAACCCAGTAGTCACATGATATCACAGTTTATGACCGCATTGCTAAGCAACGCAAATTTCAATCCCAATGGCCACTGTAACCAAGGACTACCTATAATAATAGCATTTAAGAGGCTTTGTTGGTTCCTATTTTCCTGGTCTCCATCCTCCTCTTTGCCTGGCTTGAACCACTATATAGGATCATAAGCAAATTTGAACAGAATTAAAAATATGGGAGGAATAGTAGTACATAAGCAACTTTTGGAGCCAGACTGCACCCTGCGCAGGATCTAGCCATTAGAGTTCCCCTCCAACTATTTTTCTACTTGTATAATAATAATAATAATAATAATAATAATAATAATAATAATAATAATAATAATAATAATAATAATAATAATAATAATAATAATAATAATAATAAAAAAATGCCAGCATCTGGCTTACTGTGCTACCAATCATATCTTTTTTTTAAAAAAAAGAACACTGAACAATTGCCACATTGTATGATGTAGCATGTAATTTATCTTGAGCATATTCTGAGCAAGATAATCATTGCTCCCTACTAATTGTATTTTCCTAATGCCCAATGAACTCTTACAAAATGATCTTTCATATCAACTATTTAATATGAAAACAAAAACTATAACTACGTTACTGTTTTTCAATTCTAAATTAACTTTTATTTTTTAACCACCATGAAACAGATCAAATAGTGTATGAAGCTAATATTTCTATTTTAGTTAATACAAAGAATTTGTTAAATTAAAGTGACATAAATATACACATAAAACTAACACAATAGTTTTTTAAAAAGCTACATTTTGGAAAAGCTGTAACAAAGTCATACATAACTGGATGAGAAATTAGGGCATATATGATATACATATAAACTATTTTTAAATGCTAACTTGTAGAAAGAAAATCAGTAACTACTTTATTCAGAATAAAAGGTCTACTTCTTCAGTATTTTGATAAAGGTTTTTGATAAAATCAATTAGAAATCACATATAAAATGAAATTACTGAATACTATACCTCTTAGCTTTCGACATTCTGCAGCCTAAGCACATCGATATGACAGACATTCTTAGCTTGTGCAGTAAAAGCAAAACTTATATTTCGCCCATGAAAAATTTCCCAGTTTGCCTATCTATAGCATACCTATAGCATTTCTCAGAAACAGCCAACAGGTATTTTCTTCCATTTTATTAAAATGATATAACAAAATTGACTACAGCACTGTTATAATTGCCACAGCAAAAGATTGAACCCTCTCTGATTGGGTGATGTTAACTAATCCTCTCGTCTCCTGAGAGGTTCTCTCCGGGCACCTTATGTTAAACGTCAAATCCAATTAAAATTAAATGTATTCCACCCCATACCTAAAAGGTACAATCCTATTAATGAAACAATAAATTGTATAATCCCCTCATACCAGTAATTCATTTTTGGCTTCTGAGTATGTATATATGTACTGTATGCGTGTATGTTTGTGTGTGTATACATACATACATACATACACACACGCACACATACACAAATGCTTTTAAAAACATTTAATTAAAAAAGTTATAGAAGTGTCAAGGTCTACACTTATTGTATAAGATGCAGCTATGTAATATAGTATCAAAGAAGGGAAATTGTAATTTTCACTATATTAATTTCTAAATCATTAGTTCATAGTTCCTCAGGCAAAGTGCAATAAGTTTGAAACAGAAAATGAAAACTTTCCCAAGCACGGAAACTAAGAAAGAACTTTTTAAAGTGTTGCCTTGAGAAAAGGAGGGGGAGCAGGTGCATTACCTTAAAACATGTCAACATAGAAGGCCAATCTGTCCCCTATCATTTCTGATTTCAGGACAAGGAATAACCCATTTACGCTAAAGAAAAACAGACAAACAAACTTCTTTCTTAGGAAAGAAGTCCAACCATTATAACAATTTGATGGTATAGCCAATTTTCATCCTTTGTTGAATGCATTTAAGTAGATTTGGATAAACATTTGGAACCCATATATTAATTGGAATTACTGCACAAAACAAGAGTTTGGACTTTATCTAAATGGCCTCCTTTGGACTTATGTATCTATTGAAAACAGCTTCCTACTCTCACTGTGTTCTCCAGACTATACGAACAATTATTATTTAACCAAATACCGTACTCAATAAATAATACATTTTAAGTAATGTAGGTTAAAGCTATGTGTTTGGGGTTTGAAGGTACAAATATAGTACAGGTCTGCACTTCTTCAGCGCATTGTCTTTTCTTGGGACTGCATAGCTGCCTTATACAACTGCAGCAGCACCCTTCAAAAAGAGTTTTACTACAGTCTGTACGTTGGCATTCTCCCAAAAGTGTTCAGTCTTTGAATATGAATTTAAATCTGAAGCCCTGGACAGGTGTATATGGTACTTTTAAAAAAAAGTTCATTTGTTTGCATAAACCAAGACCAGCAACAATTTATCACACTGCAGCCTTGTTTTGGATTCTAAGTATATTGCTATTATGGATGCAGTATAAATATTTGCATAAGACTGTTGCTTATGTTTGGTTTTACATCTAAACAATCAACCCATTGTACTCAGATCCTTGCATATAATTTCCTGTATTTATGTTCAGATGTCATTCAACAATTTATCCTGCTTTTTAAAAAATTCTCTCAATATTTTAATTCTTCTCAAGCTTTAGTCCATTTTTATTTGAAATACTGTAATTTCTATTACTTTAGAGTACAACAAGCTAGTGTCAGACAATAATCATTTTAAACCAAATTGTTTTGAGTAACAAAATCAAGCTAGTTGTGTTACCGAGCCACTGCCCTTTATTATAGTGAACATGTACAGCAGGTTCAAGTGTGAGACAAGATATATATTCCTGCATTAATTTTATATATATGGCAATAATATTTTCCATCTTCCTATCTGGGAAGATGTATGTGCTCCTGATGAAACAAGAAATTAAAAAATATTCTCTTTTATGAACAGATTTCACAAAAGAAATTGGAATCTCCTTGTACCTTCTACATGATCACAACTTTTGGTTAAACCCAAAAATGATCTAGGTGCCATAAGTATTCCTCTCAGATTGCTATCTTTGATCTGTTTAAAAAATAAAGTCTTTTGCATTTTTTGGCATTGCTGTGGAAGAGCTAGCTGAATCTCCTTAAATATAAACTGCACTTTCCTTCAATTGTGTGGCTCCATGACAGCCCAGGAGAACATGCAGCTTCTTTAAGGAGACTCTCACCATCACTGTATGCAATACTATGCCTGCTACAAACCATCTTTTTGCTTCTGGATAAAAACACTGCACATATTTTTAAGCACCAACACTGTTGATTTAGAAGACAATAAACATAATAAAAACATACAGAAACAAAGGACATATGAATAATAAATTAATAGATATGATTCATATAGTGACTAACGGCATAAAAGGTGAAAATTCCAGTGTTTTTGAATTGAACTAACATTAGCTTCAGCCCAGAAAATATGGAAGTAGAGGCTGGAACAAGTAAATCAAATCCATATGAGGAAACTCAATATTGCAGATTTATCTTAGTAACTTTGGCAAAAGTCTACAACTTTTTAGAAAAATAGGTCCATACGATGATAGTGTTACAAGTGTAAGGTTCATTTTATTCTAGATCAGGGGTGTCAAACTGCCGGCCCGCAGGCCGGACACATCACGAGCAAACCACGCCCACTCCATTGCCGGCAATCGGGAAAAAACTCCGATACTTTGCGCGATGTCACATGACATCGCGAGTTTGACATGTCTGTTCTACATGAACAAATAGGAATTGGCAATGAAAAGAGCCTTACCTACAAATGGTTACCTTTCACATTAATTTAATCTTAAAACAATGTACCAGATAAACCTGTTAAACACCATTTCTCATTTATGTAGTTCCATAGCTTGGCTCAGCACAGGTAAAAATAAGGAAGCTTCAAACAAAATTTGAAACATTAAAGAAAAAAAGTATTGTTAAGAGGTTACAAGTACCTGGAAGAGGTCAATCATGGATGAAATCTAATTTGGCAATTAAAATGCATATAATGGGATAATAGTGGTATTAAACATACATATACTGACCCTCTGAAGTATTTTAAAAAAATTAAACATTCAGATGCAAGCCTTAAGTTAATTTTTCAATGTATTAATTAGTATATATGCTTACCTGTAACGAACATGAAATGAATTCTCTTCACACATGTTTAACAAAACATCTTCTGTCAATTCACATTCTGTATAAATTTATTATTAACTAGACGGCATGTAGGAAAATCACCAGGGAATGAAAAAAATATTCTCATAACAATGTCCCAATGTTATCAAGATTTGGAGTTAATAAAATTCAAATTCTTGTTGCAGTATTGATGCTTGATCAGAAGAGGAGATTCTTATCAGATATCTTATACATTCAGAAGTTGTATTACAATCTGTGTCTGTCGCTCAATCAGTTGTATTTCTGCAAAGAGAGTATAAAATGCTGTTTCTAATTTCATTTGTATGAGTATCAAATTAATTTTTTAAAAAATAAGATGACAATGCTTGGTGAAGATACAACAAATGAAATTCTTGTATAAAGAAAGCTTAGAAAGCATGCCTAAACACTATTTTATGGATTAGTTACTGTATAAAGTAATAATTTAGAGAGATTGGTCACAGAACTATGTTCTCTTTTTTTCTAGGCAAACTACATTAAAAACTTTATTGGGAAAAAGTTGCAGCAAAACTGGGTTTTTTTATTTTACATATTTAGTTTTCAATTTTATACTAATGAACTGCTGCTAGGAAACTACAGTTAGTAGAAAAATATCAGAATGAGGACTGGATGTCACACTCTTTCACATATTTCCACTAGAAATGTATACAAAATGGAAAATACGCTTTGTTTCAACCCAGAAACAAATACAGTGATTTCTGGAAATTCCACTGAACTTTGCAAAAACAAAACCTGGAATGTTTTTGGTTTTCTATCTTTTGGCCAAAACAAAAGCTACAGAGATCTTGGGTATGACTTCACTGATCAAGGCTAGTACAAATCAAACTGTCTGTCATCTGCCATTGCCTTTTCCACAGGGTCTGTTCATTTGTTACTCAGTAGAAAAAGAAGTTTCCAGTAGAATATTTCTCTCTAGCCAGCCTGCTCATCAATTTTCCTTCTCTCCCTCCCTGCCCTCAGCTGCTACGAATGTCCAAATAGCAAAAGAAGGGAGGACGCAGCTCTCCAACATCCCAATAATACAAGAGCCTACACTGCTTCTGCTGTGATTACTAGAAACATACTCCAAAAAGTATCCACTGGCTTTTTGTCACTTCTGTTTGGGAGTATGTTTTCAACTATCTCTGGAATAAACAAGAAAACGTGCTTTATTTTATATCTAAAACAAACAGGAATGTTTTGGTTCAGGCACAAACTACAAGCAAGGACCTATTCTGTACAGGACAGTCTATGTAAACAAATTTTTCATTGAAAAAAAATGAAGCTTGGCAATGTGACCAATAAACACTACTCCTTCCTCAACTGAAATTCTACCCAAACAATCCTGAATACCAAGCCTTCAAACTATTATTAATCATGCTATTGTCTAAACCAGAACATAGTAAAACACAGTATCATTAGTAGACTGAAACACCTCAGAACAGTACCAATATTTTTTATCAAATCCCAGATTTTCAGTTCCCAGATCCTAATCAGAAGGCATAGTCATCCATATACAGAGGGACAATAGCTCATATTGTATATGATTACATCATCATGCAAATGATATGAGTTATGCATTTATATCAGATATCATATTTTTGTGGTACCATCATTTTGACATCATTGTGGCATATAACATGTCTATGCCAGAAGAGTATCATGGCCAGTGGTATGAAAATTACTGATTACAGGTAGTTCTCGACTTACAGCCATTCACTTAGTGACCATTCAAAAGTTATAAAAGTGATATATGACTGTTTTCATACCTACAACCACTGCAACATCCTCATGGTCACATGATCAAAATTCAGATGCTTGGCAACTGGTTCATAATTATGATGGTTGCAGAGTCCTGGGATAATGTGGTCACTTTTTGTGACCTTCTGACAAAGTCAATGGAGAAGCCACATCCACTTAACAACTATGTTACTAATTTAACAACTGCAGTAGCAAGAAAGGTTGTAAAATGGGGTGAAACCACTGTCTCACTTAGCAACAGAAATTTTGGGTTCAATTGTGGTTGTAAGTCTAGGTCTACCTGTAGTCCAGGGAATTAACAACATCAGTTCCTACTACCTCAGCATATTATTTAGATTGTGCATTCTTCAAAAATGATCCAGAAGTACAAGCCTGAGAAAAATGCAGAGCCCATACAACTGCATTCCATGAATTTAATTAATGTAGCATAAAGTAGGTATTCACTTAAAGCTCATTAACAACTGTTAGCATCACTCTGAAGGTTTGCAGTATCAACAATTACATGACAATTAACATGAGAGAAACTGTCAAACAAGCAAAGCGCAATTGAGGGAACAAATCAAAATATGCTATAGAACTTAAATACCTGATTCTTAAAACCCATATTATACTGTGAAACACAAATGCAATTTTGCTGATTTTAATTACACCTTTATAAAATTTATCAATTTCCTATGTACGGTGTGATAATCTATACATGGAAAATAATATATTGCTGAAATACTGAAAGTTAATTATTACAGCCACTCGTTTACTGACTACCTCAGTTATTGACCATTGCAAATTAGATAGACAACAAATTAGATAGACCATTGCAAATTAGATAGACTAATGCTGTGGAAACTGTACAAGAGAATTTTATCTGAAAGAGACAGCAATCTTCACAGCAACTCAGTCAGGTTTGCTCAGTAATCATTTCACTTAATGACAGTCACTGAAATGGACTGTGGTCACTAAATGGCGAGGAAACAAGAAATAAGAGACCTGGTTTGATCTAGTGATTAAGGCACCAGGCTAGAAACCAGACTGTGGAGACTGTGAGTTCTAGTCCTACCTTAGGCACGAAATTGGCTGGATATCTTTGGGCCAGTCACTTTCTCTAGACTCTACTACAGTATTCACCTCATAGGGTGGTGTTATCGGGAATATAGGAGGAAGAAGGAAATTAAGATACGTTGGCCTCCTTGAATTATAAAAGTAATAAAGGTGGGATAAAAAAATTCAACAGGCAACTCTCTCTGGAGTATGTAGATTCTTTGGGTCATGGGGCTTTCCTCCTCATCCTGTCTTCCATACAATAAAAATTATTTTTAATCCAACAAGTCCTATTTTTAAAAAATCTGATTGTTACACACAATAGCAAGTCAATCAGGGAAATGACGGTTATCTTTCCTTTCTACATGCTACATTGAAAATTTAAAGCAATTATACCTCCACATCAATCTTGGTAAATATCACACATAGATTTAATTAGGATTAATCCTAACCCTAACGCTACAACCAGCAAGCTATCTTGAATGGACCCCGATTGAGAAAAGCTGGTCTAATAAGAACAAGGAAGGCAGTTTTCACTAGAAATGACATCAGAAACGTCTGAATTTTTTTTCAATAGCAACCCTGTCAAGAACACCAAAGGAACAGGATTAGGTCTTCTAAGGGAGCACGATTCCATACAGCATTGAATCAGTAATGTCAAATATGCCTCATCCAATCTAAGACTTATATTAGACATTAATTCAGAATTTTACTGGAATAAATAGAATTGCCATCATCTAAATTATTCCATACAGTTATCTACCTTACGACATGGAATGAGATTAAAAAGGATATTGTAAGATGGGAGAAACAACTACTGTCATTATTGGGAAGAATTTTTGTGATAAAAATGAAAGCCCTGCCTAGAATGATGTTTTTGTTTCACACACTATCTATTCTGACAACTGATATACTATTTAAACAGTGGCAGAAGGATTTATCTAAATTTGGGCAGCAGGGGAAAAATACATTAAATAAGATGTTACAAAATGCAAAGGAAAGAGAAAGATTGATTTATCTGATTTGACACTGGATTTTGCAGCTTGCTTTCTAGTTGGAATGAAAGTAATTTGGAATTAGAAGGATGTGATCTGAGAGTTGTGGTACAATAAATAGTCAAGGTTGAGTTGTGGTACAATAAATAGTCAAGAAATGTTAGACATGCCTTATTAAGAATACAGAAAACCCAGGATTTGTCCTAAAACACCTTTGTAACATTTTATAGACAAGAAATAGGAAAACACAAAACCTCTTGTGAAAGTAGAATTTTATCAAAGGGAACTTAAAATAAAATAAATCAAGAGAAGAACTGGGAGGCAGAAAGATATAGTTGTCAACAGTTATCTTATTTGCAATCATTAGAAAGTAATATAAAATAGACAAAATAATTTATGCTTTTGAACACTGGAAGATTGAGTTTGAAAGAGAATTATATACAAATAATGAACATGTAAATTCTAAAATGTATAAACGTTTATTGAAATTTGAGCTAAAATTTTAGATTATAATATACAGATAGTCCCCGACTTGCAACCATTCAAAGTGACAAAAATGACTTATGACTGTTTTTCACACTTGCGGACATCGCAACATCCCCACAGATATGTGACCAAAATTTGAACGCTTGGCAACTAGCATGTATTTATGATGGTTGCAGTGTTTCAGGGTCATGTGGTCACTTTTTACGATCATCTGACAAGCAAAGTCAATGAGGAAATCAGTTTCATTTAACAACCGTGTTATTAACTGCAGTGATTCACTTAACTGTGGCAAGAAAGGTCATAAAATGGGGCAAAACTCACATAGCTGTCTTACTTAGCAATGAATTTTTTGGCTCAACTATGGTCCTAAATCAAGGACTACCTGTACAGATGGAACAAGAGAAAGGATTGAAATTTATACTATGCCACAATCTTAAAAAGAATTTTTTAATAAAATGATATATCATTGGTATACATTACCCCCAAAATTTTCTAGAATATATAAAGGCACTTCATATTTATATTGGAAATCTGAACATTAAGAAGGGCCTTTTTATCATCTTTGGTGGACATATAAAAAAAATAGATTTTTTTGGATTCTAATACATACATTGATTTAGAGGATTTTAAAGATTAATATACAATTGAGACCAGATGTTTTTCTTTTGTGGTTGGACCAACAGCTGGAAAAAAATCAAGGAACTTCATTTTTGTGTATAACTGCAGAGATAGCAAGATTCAGCATTAGCACATTAGAGAAAGAGTTGGTAAAAGTGATGGAACTTACTAGGATAACTAAGTTGGTTTCTCTGATAAGAAAAAACAATAAAAATGACAAATGACTACATTTACTGCTGATTGAAAACCCCTTATAGATTTTTTTTCCTATAAAATAGGAAAAAATACTCTGTTTTGGTTTTGAGGATTTATGGTTTTGGTTATTGGACAAGATAGATTATAGAAAGAAGTCTTATGTTGTAACCATAGAGTTGAGAGGTAAATGTGTAGCCATACTTATAACTGCTGTAAAGAAGATTGGAAGCTACAGGTAGTCCTTGACTTATGACAATTAAGACTGAAATCTTCAGTCATTGAGCAAAGTGGTTAGGCAACCTTCCATTCCAGGGTTAACCTGCTTGCTGGACATACTGAGTCCTATTGGGGGAGGGTAAATCCCTCCAACAGGCAACCCTTTCACTGTTAAAAAGGCTGGCTAGAAAATGTCTATCCTGAAATCCAAACAGGATTTTAGCACAGAGTGTTTGTAGCATGGGGCGTCTGCAGCCAGCCCCCAGCGATAAGAAGGCTCCCTCTTGTTTCTGAGAGGTGACAGCAGAAAGAACCCACACTGCATCCATCCCGAAATCCAGCTTGCAAATGCACCATGCTGCAAATACTCTGTGCCAAAATCCTGCTTGGACTTTTCCAGCCAGCCCACAGAAATCTGGGGGAGTCTTCTTGGCAGGTGGCAGTTTCTAGCAACCTTTTCTGCCAGCTTCCCTATTGACTTTCTGGGGATGTAATCATGGAGGTGCTGTAACGACCAAATGTTCAAGAGAGTTCATTAAGTTCCTTCATTCAGTGTCATAATTTCTAACCGTCACTAAACGAATGGTTGTTAAGCAAGGACTACCTGTACTTCTTTGTATTTTTTATTTCATTTTTTGCACTTTTACCTTTTTTCCCTTTAGTTTATATTAGTTTGTATTAGTTTTTATCATTTAAAAAAAAAATGAATAAAAAGTATACATTACAAATTACAAGGTAGTCCAGAGCTTTTAAGGATTGGCACAAGCTTTACTGGGTTTAGTTATAACTTCTGAAGAGCAAACTTATAATAGCAAATCAGACCTGTTTCATCTGTGGGCCAAAATGTATTACAAATTGCTAAAAATTAAACAAGTGCTGAAAATACGACTTTGGCACAACTCTACCTACACAAGTTTACAATGAAAGCAGAATTGAATTCTATGCAAGTTTTACCATCAAAAAATAAAAACTGTATACTAAGAGAATGCTATTAAGCAATCCATGCAAGGGACATGGTAAACTTCTATTGGATCCTAGAAACATGCTGTCATCACATCCATCTAGGCCAGGGTATCCCAGCCCAAATTTTTTTTTTTTAAATACTTGCAGAAGGCCACACAAATATAAATCATTTCCAGAGCAGAGCAAAGAAAATCAGTCGTGCCAGCATTAACGGGAGAAAATTCTCTGGGGATTTTCACCGAAACGTCCGAGGCACATAGTCTTGTTTCGTTTCTCCATTTTGGCATACTTTTTTTTTTCCTACAGAGATAATACCTAGGTCCCTAAGTAAGGGTAGACCATATTCCCCCCCGCCCCCGAGGAGCATCCGACTAATCAAAAAGCAGCCCGTTCCTAACAAACACACGCGAATCCCTGCCTGCCCCTTCCTCCCGGTGTGGTTTTCTTCAAAATGGCTCCCCTTTAACCGTGTCGATTCCCAAACACAGGCAGCCCTCCCTTCTCCTGCACCCCCCAACTATCTTGCAGGAGCGCCTTCTGCCTTTTTTTTCTCATTTTTTTTTCCTCCACGCACCTAACAAGCCGCTGCCAAATTCCCTATTTATACCAGGCTCAGCGGTGCCCACGAAGGGGATTCGCTCACTTCACTTCAGTTGCCGCGAGTAGCTCGCGGACGGCTCTCCCTCGGTCTCCGGCGCTAAACAACAAGCGTCGCGAAAACCCCGAGACCCAGAAAGGGGAGGGGCTCCCCACTTTGCTTTTCACCTGCCCAGCCAAGGGCGCTCCCCCGTCCGCCTCCGTGAGTGACGAGGACGGGAGGGAGGGAGGGGGGGGAAAACGGCCATCCGCGCGCTCGCGCTCGCGCCGCCCAGCGCACGCGCCTCGCAGCCATGCCCTTTTCTCTTGTTTAAGGCGTCGTCCGTCTTTCATCCGGGCGCCGCTCCGCCCGCCGCGCTCCCCCCCGCTCGGCATCTTTTGCATTGGCCAATCAGAAGGAGAGGGTGAAGTCGATGCGTCCTGTCCTCTCCCTTTTTGAACACCGGCGTAAGGGCTGGGAGTCACGTGGGCTTTCCCTGCGGTTAGGTCAGGGGTAGGCAACCTTGGCTCATTTATGACTCGTGGACTTCAACTCCCAGAATTCCTGACCCAGCATGGCTGGCTCAGGAATTCTGGGAGTTGAAGTCCACGAGTCATAAAAGAGCCAAGGTTGCCTACCCCTGGGTTAGGTTTATATTCCGTGGATTTGGGGGTGGGGGGGGGGGAATGTTAGAGAGATTTAAAGGGATAGCTTCCCTTGCGTTGGTTTCAGGCGATGGGAAGGGTCCGCAGCAAAGGAAAGGATGGTTACTTATGGGTATTGACAGGATCGTGTAATATAGAATAGATCGCCCCTTTCGTCACTTTTTTTAATTATTGGTGTGAGCACCCTGCACAGGGAGAGTATAGACTACAAATAGTCCTCGAGTTACAACCGTTCATTTAGTGACTGTTCAAAGTTACAATGGTACTGAAAAAAGTAAGTTATGACCATTTTTCACACTTACGACCGTTGGAGCATCTCTATGGTCACATGATCAAAATTCAGCCACTTGGCAACTGACTCCTCCCGTGGTCATTTTTGCACCCTATTGACAAGCAAAGTCAATGGGGAAGCCAGATTCGCTTAACAACTGTTACTAATTTAACAACTAGAGTGATTCACTTAACTGTGGCAAGAAAGGCCATAAAATGAGGCAAAATTCACTTAACAGATGTCTCACTTAGCAACAGACATTTTGGGCTCAGTTATGGTCGTAAGTTGAGGACTACCTTTGTATGAAGAAGTTGTTCTGAATCCTGAGAATGAAGCTGTTTGCAGCATCTGAAAAACAATCATGCTTAAATTTTGGGCTCAGTTATGGTCGTAAGTTGAGGACTACCTTTGTATGAAGAAGTTGTTCTGAATCTTGAGAGTGAAGCTGTTTGCAGCATCTGAAAAACAATCATGCTTAAATTTTGGGCTCAGTTATGGTCGTAAGTTGAGGACTACCTTTGTATGAAGAAGTTGTTCTGAATCTTGAGAATGAAGCTGTTTGCAGCATCTGAAAAACAATCATGCTTTAAGCTTCATTTCCTCCCATTTCTCAACTAGTTCAGAAAATTAATATACTTGCAAATGAAGGTCCATATGCTTGCCTCAGCTCTTTGGGACATGTTTTCAATCACCTATATGTTGAGAAATATGCAACCCCCCAGACTTATTATAAACTATATTTTGGTTTCAGCTGATTGTTATATGGGGTTTTTCTACGCATGCATACATTTGTTATATCTTTTATGATTATTTCATTATTTATATATCTTTAGGGCTTTTTTGTCTGTTGTCACCATCCAAACTTATAAGATGGGGCAGTTAATACGTGTCCTAAATAAATATATACAGTACAATACACCTATCAAGTCATTTTTCAGAATTCCTTCTAGAAAGTAGATAACCACCTTCCAAAAATTGTATTACATTCATGCCTTTCCTTGTTCGTTAGCTAGATACATATCCTGCGTGTTCTTGGAATGCAAGGTGATGTACATCTTCTTCTTCTTGTGCCATATCTGTTATCGGACGTTGGCGATCATGTTGGTGATCCTGTTTTTAGCAGCAGCCGCACGAAAAAGTGCTACTGAGTTTTGTCCAAACCAGTCCCTTAGATTTTGAAGTCACGATGTTCTTCTTCTGCCTGGACCTCGTTTGCCTTCAATCTTTCCCTGGAGGATTAAATGGAGTATGCCGTATTTTTCTGGGTGTCGCATCACATGTCCGAAATATTCTAATTTTTGTTTTTTAATTGTTGTGATGATTTCCCTTGGCTTTCCCAGGTGGCTTATCACCTCCTCATTTCTGATCTTGTCAACCCATCTTATACATAATAGCCGCCTGTAAATCCACATTTCAAATGCTTCTAATCTCTTCAGGTGGCCTTCTGTCAGAGACCAACTCTCTACTCCATAGAGCAGGATAGAAAAAATATAGCATCTGACAAGCCTGATTTTCAGTTTTAGGCTTATATCATGACTGCAGAAGACCTTTTTCATTTTGAAGAATGCTGTTCGAGCTTGCTCTATCCTAGTCTTTACTTCAGTGGTCATGTCCCAGCTTTCATGTAAATTAGAACCGAGATGTGTGATCCTTTCAACTTTTTCTAATGGTATTCCTTCTGAATTTATTGGTGGTAAATTAACGGGTTCAGACAATATTGTGTTTGCACAACACTGATTCACCAGATTACTGACATTTTGGCTTAGTGAGTGACATGGATCCAGCGGGTAGGATTAATTTTTAAGAATGAGCTCAGCAAGCCCAGATGTAATGATTAAGAATGGGTTCACTGAAGCTGTGTAGCTGAGGAGGCATTTGGACTTTGGCTCTTTTTTATTTTAAATTACAGAAGGAGCGTTAATGAAATGGGTATGGCTAGAGAAAGGGTGGGGCAATAAAAACAGTCAAAGTTACTCACCAACAGTTCTTGGCATTATTTCAGAATAAATGTATTCACCCAGGAAAAGGTGGAGTGGGAAATCATCTTTAATTCTTGCTTGGCAGCCAGAACACGTTCATTCAAAAAACTTGCTGTAGGCGCGCAATATATCTGTGGCATGGGTGTGGTTAATATAAGGGAACCATATTATTAAATGCTGAACAGGCCATACATTCTAGATAATTTGTTATTCCCTTCAGCCATGCAACACTCTTTTCCTATGAAACAGTACCAGAGATTCACAATCCTTTCTTACAGTAAGTACTGTATGCAATTTCCGCATTCATTTAGAAAATTAGTTGCATTTCTAACATAAATTACTAGATACCTTTTTAAGTATTTCACTGGGAATTTAATGTTTCTGAAATTTCCTTTTTATCAGTTTACTGTGATGCCTAATAAGCAAATCCTGATTCAGCATATTTGAACACTCCTCATGTTTCAGGTAAGGATAGATAAAATTTTCTGATCTCTTACCAAGTCAGTATATTTTTGCCCAACAATATATACATACAAATAGATTTAAATATTGGGGTTCCTTAAAGTTCACAGCCATCAGTTTCTCACTGTATATATGAGCTTTGTATCTGAAATATTAATAATGAATTGAAAGGAATTTTAAGTTTTTTCAAATGTAGCTGAAAGAAAACATAATCCTGGGACATGTATATTTGCCTTCATTTGTGAAAGAAAAACAACTTCATTTGCTCTTTAATTAGAAAAAACATAACTGTTAAGAAATACAACTTTTAATTCCTAAAACACTCCTTCAGATGAAAAGGGCTACCCTATTTACATGTGGTGACAGAAAATTTATGTCTATATGGGGTATGTATTGGATAGTGGCAAATATAATCACCATTTTTTTCTGCTAAATATTCGAAGGGAGAAAATGTATACACAGGTGCAAGGCAGTTACCTTTTTTACTTCATTTTTCTCTATATGAGACTGTTCCTATTGTACTTTGTGCTAGGCTTATTTCATACTTTATGTTACAGTAAAACTGTTCCACAACAGCTGTACATATGCTTGTCACATTGCTACTTTCTCCTTTGGGAGAAAATTGTGTTGTACATGGTGTTAGGTATACTACTCAAAATATGGCCAAAAAGGGGTCTGTGTGTGTTACAGTTATATCTTTGGGAATTAGATTACTAAAAAATACTGTATCAACAGCATTGTCAGCATTAATACTTACCAGTGTTTATTATATAAGGTTTTTTTTTTTACCAGTTTATGTTTGGCCTTTCTGTTGGCTTGCATATTCGTGGTTGGTGTTTATTTTGGGAAAGCCTCTCTGAAGAGGCCATTTCTCAAGCTTATGAACTTGTTGTGCTTTTGGTTCAACACAGTAATAAGGTTCTTTTGTTGACCCACATTTTTTAACACTAGTTGCAATTATGAGCTTATTTTGCAGAAGAACAAACAACCAGTGATAAATACAGGAAGAGATTTTATAGCTGTGTCTAAAATCAAAAAGAACGTGGTAACACCTTAAGAATAGCACATTTTAGTGTAAGACAGAAATTTTTGTTAGCTGCGGCTCACTACATCAGATGCATGAAGTGTATTGACTGAGATAATATTAAATATATTGGAATGAAGTAGAGGGAAGGATGGGAAGACAAGGTGCTTATGCAGAAGAAAATTTTATGGGAGACCGATTATAGTGGGAATAGGTGTATTACTTTGTCCTTACCTCTGCTGATAATGTGCTTTTTAGTATGCAAACCGTTGTTTTATCAGTTTATATTTCACTAAAACATGCAGTAAAATAATTAAGAAAACTATCTTTTGAAAGGATTTCTGCTCATGATCTTAGGAAGCAGTCCCAGATGGTGGCTGGAGTAATAGTAAATAATTAATTTGCACATACCTTCTCTTATAAATTATTTAAAGTCCTTACAGTGCAGGTAGACATGCTTATGAGACCCTCAAATGTTATGTTTCACTTCTAAACACATCATAATCAGTCCCAATGAAAATAAACGTTGATAAATAGATTAAGCTGAATTTGATTTTCTCACCAGGGTTTCAAAATGTTGGCTTGTTACTCTATTCCCTTTATGCTATCACTGATTAATGGCAGGGACAAAGAAGCAGGCAACAAGGTGAATGGTTGCATTATTAAAGATACTGTACTTCTCCAGGTCAGCTGTGTTCAGTATAGAGTTACAACTGACGAAATAAAATACACCTAATAAAGAAAAGCCCTATATTTTGGTTACAACTAAACTAGATTGCAGAAATAATTTTTATTTTGCCTGCTATAACTATCTTTATTTCTTGGAAAATTAAACAAATATTTTCCTACAGTATGTAAGTATAAAGATTCATTATTGATTTACCATTATGTGATATATAGAGTATATATAACTTCTCTTTTTTGTGTGTCTAATGAAATTTCTTATTTTCTGTATATATTGAAGTCATTAGCAAAATACACACATATATATATATATACATAGTGACTTTTATTTGGAGAATGTGTGTATTGGAAAAAAGATTAAAGTCTCTTTAAAAAAAGCATGCAGATGTTACTGTTAAGTTTGTTTACACTTTATAATGTATGACCTAGATCCAAATTAAAATTTGTCATCCTGGTGTATTTTAAACTTGGCACATTAATGAGTTGATTTATATAGAAAGTAGGAAGGTTGGAGGAAATTTTATATACAAAATACAGTAACTATGTGCATGTGTCTAATTTTAATCACAGATGAAGCCGTAATTCAGTTGACATAGATATAATTGTTCTGATGTACATAATTCTCAATAGATAATATGAAACTTCCAGTAGAACATTGACCATCTAATTAAACTGTATAAAGAATTATAGGTATATTTGTCTTTCAACACAAATTAGATCCTTGGGTTATCACATAGACTTCTTTGGAACAAATGCAAATGTCAAATGATGAGTCTATGAACATTTTACAGAAAGGAAATGGAAGATTTACAAGATTTAATTATGTTCTTATACATAACTCAGATTATTAAATTTGTTCTCTCAAATCTTACAGAGCTTGAAATCATGCAGAATATGATCAAAATATAAGTAATTTCAGTATAACAACATTCACTATATGAAAAGTAAGTGAATAGTATATTATTTGATATGCTTTACTCTGAAGACAATACTGACAATGAGCAAGAAGATTTACCTTATGATGGAGATCTACAAGATAGAGGTCAATATAGTTGTGATTCAGAGAATTTGAAAGAATTTATTTCTGTAGAACATGTCTCCCCAACTGTTTCCACATTGACATCTTCTCCTATCAGCAGTCTGACAAAAGAAAATTCAAACTGCAAAAAGCAATTGTCTCAAAGGAAAATAAATACGGTGCTGTTGACCAAACAAAATGACATAGAATTTACCATGACAACAGAAAAGGAAATACAAGTTGGTGGTTTTACCAGTTCAGGAAGAAATGAAGAGTTTTCCAACTCAAAAATATCAGATGTCCTTTTACGTCATTTTCCAACAAAAGACTTAACATGCCAATTAATTGATTCTGAGACTATCCCGGAGTTATCATTTACTGACAGTTTTGATGAAACAGTGCTAAAAAAAGATAAGATTTCAGAAAATACAGGCATATTTTCCCCAAAAGAAGAAATAAAGAATAGTGAAAGGAAAGTAAATTGTAATTCAGGTGTCAAAAATTGGGATTTGACTCAAGATAAGCTATCTTTAACAGCCAAGTGTGCTGTTGTTTGTAATAGCAAATACTGCAACATGGATAACTCACAATTTCTAATTCAAAAGGAACCTGGAATTAATGAAGACTTAAATTATACCTCTACCTGCAAAGAGTATCAAAATCAACAATATTTTCTGGATAATGCTGAAAATTTTCATAATCATCCCCAATGCAATGAACACCAAGCTCATTATAGACTTTGTGATTCCTCTGAGATGTCCCCAAAAGTCAAAGAATTAAAAGGAAATAATGAAAGCTTTGTATTTAAAAGAACTAAATCTTCCACACATTTGCTTGGTAAAGATGTTCTAGAAGCAATGGAATCTGATACAATCAGAAATCAAGGAGAAGAAAATGGAACTTTCCGTCTTGATCAACAGCTAGAGGTAGATTAAAAGTGATTTGTCTGCATATAAAGGTCTGGATAAACTCAATAACTGATTTTTGAGTTAGATCTCCAAATCAATGCTGAAAACCTACTTTAAACATTTGTTAATTTAAATTAAATGCCAGGGAGATTCTACTGGATTCTTGATTGGTTTTTTTTGGGGGGGGGGCTGCAATCCTAAACTAATTTTGTATTTCTATTAATATAATGTTTCTTAATAAATATACATACAATTATACTGCAATAAATGCAGTGTGACATGCATGTGCTGAAGAATATTTAAATGAACTGAAATTCAATGCAACATTAAACAAATAAAAATTACACATTAAGGATAGTTTCTGATTTTCTGCCAATTCCCCTCTTCCCTTATTTTTTTTTAAATAGAGTTTATTGCTACAAAGAGTCCTGGAATCAGCCTTTGAAATCAGTAGTGGCTGTGGAAATAATTTTCATTGTTCTTTATCATAATAACATAAATCATCTTTATTTATTCTATTAATTCCTAGTTTCCAAATCATTAATCCATTATCTTCAGTATAAATCTCTAGCAATATTATAGTAGTAGCTAATTTATGACAATGTACTGGCTTGGGACTCTCCTTGCATGTGGCAAATTTTTACAAATTAGCCTACTAGCTTTTCAGCTATATTTCTTATTAGAAAGGGCTCACTTTCCAGTTTTCCTTTCTAATCCTACATTTTTAATATTCTTTCCCATTACATCATTTCATTTTTATATTTTCTTTTCATTCTTTCATTTAGTTTTTAATGTATGCTGCCTTGAATCTGTCCAGTTTGGTGCCATATAGGTTTAATAGATAATAATAAAACTTCAGTAGTTCATATATTGTATGTTGTTTTCCTGTCTAATGGCATGTTTTTTTTCCTGAATCTAATTCTTTTTTTTCCCTTCACAGTTCTTGCAGTACTTGTTAGCAACTTAATGAATATATGTCTCCTAGAAGTTAGAATGCTTTTGAGTATCCTATGATATGGATCAGCAAATCTGCACCCATGGATGTTCAAGTGTCTATCAGTCCCCAAAATCATACCTGCAACCAACCAAAATTAATCAAACTATGTTTTAATTCTACACTTCTCCAAATGTATGAAATCTTGCAAGATTTAGACATTGTTATGCAAGATCCCATGAGAGCTAAGTGTAAAATAGCTAAACCCTCATAGGATTTAAGGTGATTCGGGGAACTTGAAATGGTGCCGACTCCTGTCTTACATTATTGTAAGTTGTAACAGTGCAACTAATGTTATGCTGAAAATACTAAAACATTCAAAAATGTTCTACTGTACCTTTTCAAACCACAGATGCTGACAAGACAAGCTGAGGTTCAAAATCATATCGATCATCTGAGATTTAGTCCTAAGGTAAATCTCCCAGAATAAGAAATCAATTTCATTATGGAGGATAACTTCTTAATAAAATATAATGTATTTTCTTTTTCTAAAGCCCTATCAAATTGTATGTTAGGTACATAGTTTACCGAACTTAAATTCTATTATTCCAGGGTACAATGGGCATTTAAAATTAAATTGAATACGAAAATATTAAAATCTTGTTCAGAAAGAATGTTTTTTCCTGGCAATGAAAATATATTGACATAGATGAAAGTATGTTTTCCTAGAGAGAGTTTTCCATAAATAGGCATCACAGTTGAAAAAACTTTTGTGGATTTGATAACCTCACACTTCTGAAGGTGAGTTAAGAGTCCACACCATGTACTTAAGGAAAGAGAAATTCCTTGAAATATTCATGGCTCATGTTGTGAGAATCTTGCTATCACTGTTGCAAACCTCAGTCCCTATTTCAAAATTATCTTTTGTGGAGCAACTCAGCACTTCTTGATTTCTGTTACTGGTACTGCTGCAGTTTGTGATTAATATATTTATAAATTTAATTTTTCAAAAGTTGAGCAGGAAAAATAAAGGACCAATTAGCTGTTATCGTCCATTTTCTTTGTTTTTTTACAACACTGGTGTCTTAAATGATGCCTTAATTTGTTCCCAACTGTCTACCTTATTCCCTTAATTCCTTCCCCTACTTCTGAAAATTACGCCAAATGTTTTTTTCAAATAAAAACATGTTTGCTTTATTTTTCGCTATTCAACACCTTTTAGTCTTAAAATTTATTTCTCTTTCAAAGTATCCCATGATCAAAATTTATTGTGAAATCAGAGACAATAGAATTAATTCCCTAATGTATTTTTCCCTCTGACTTATTTTATATTATTTTTAGAAATATTTTATCTATGTGCTTGCCTTGTTTTTTAGGACAAAGTTCTATTAAAGGATAACATAATTTTTAGTGTTGACGAAGTGTAATAATGTTTAGAAGTTTTTAATTTAACACATTATTTTGTCTCCTGATTTAGTAGCTGGCTACTGATTATGTTTTATCTATGAGATTTTACTGTAGGATGTATATAAATATTTAGAGTAATGAAAATATCGTAATGTTTAAAAATTGTTTCTTCAAATTACAAAATTATTGTTTGAGGCTACTAAAAGGATGAGAAAGGCAAGTGAATGCTTTCTATTGTTAATGCTGATTTTGCCCTTTTCAGTGAACATGTATATTTTCACAGATACCTCCTTGTTCAAATTCACATACAGCAGAACTTAGCGTTCAAGCACAAAGTACGGGAATAGCTTCCAAAATGCCTGCATTTTCTCCTGTAACCATTCCTATGGACCACATGCTTGATTTTTCCCAATCCCCTCATTCAGGTACTTTAAATAGGCTTTACAAAAAGGAAGTTGTTGCTATTCCTAATTTGCTTTACTCTGTATACTATTGTCTTGAGAAAATTTTCCAGAGCTTTTATTTAATCTTTTTAATTTTGTTTTGTAGAATCACAGTCTAACAATATAACTTCTTCATTGCTGTTAGCTAATCCAGTAAGAAAACCATCTGTGAACACTCCTTTTCTGCAAAATGTAACAGATGACAAGGAACAGATATTAAAGAAACAAACTGAAGAGCTGAAGGCAAATGTAATGCCACATGTTAATTTTTAAATGTTTGGAACTTGGCCTATTTTAACATCTGATCTGCAAGTTCAAGTGCAATGTATTTCTTTCCTTTTTTAAAGGTTGAAATATTTTCTGAGTGTATTAAACAGAATGTATTTTCAGTAGAAGAACACCTTCAGGTAAATTCAATTTTATATATACTTTTAAAAGACAGGTGCTCCATTTGAAGATTATCCAGCTCCATGATATAGATCTGTAGATCATCATAATATATAGATCATGACGTAGAAGAGGGGGGGCAGCCTAATCTCCAAAGCATCTGAATGTAGGACAAGAAGCAATGGATGGAAACTAATCAAGGAGAGAAGCAACCTAGAACTAAGGAGAAATTTCCTGACAGAACAATTAGTCAGTGGAATGACTTGCCTCTAAAAGTTGTGGGTGCTCCAACATTGGAGGTTTTTAAGAAGGGATTGGACAAGTATTTGTCTGAAATGGTATAGGGTTTCCTGCCTAAGCATTGGGTTGGACTAGAAGACCTCCAAGGTTCTTTCCAACATTATTATTCTGTTATCTGACTGTTTTTAATAAGAATTAAGTTTAATTTATTAAGCAACTCTAGGCTGAAGAGAAAGTTACATGTCAGAGACCCATCATTCTCATACCAATTTATTCTCTGCCTTGACATACAGCATTTCCTCCTGACTTAAAGTGTGTTTTGAATTTTTTCTCACTGAAACAAACAAGAGGGAAATTTTAGATTTGATAATCTGTGACTTTATCAGAGAAATAAGGAAGCTCTGGATTCAATTTTTTCCCCTTTATATACCCTGTTTCAGCTGTTATAGGAACTTGGTATTCTATGATAGGGAAATATTTATCAATATAGCAATCCCTATTCACATAACAACACAATTTCAATCCATCTCAGTCTTCCTACACTGCCTTTGGCAGAGTTAGAAATGCTATTAGATTCAGACTTCTGCCCATATAAGCAATACTGAGTGATTTTTATCATTTCGTAATACTGTAATAAGTGAAGCTAATTTATTGAGTACATTTTGTGAAGTAAATGGGTGAACACAACTATGACTTGAGTATCCTGTGTTGGAAGTTAACAAAATGGTATATTTTAAGTGTGCACTCAGTATAGTTTTGTATGACAGAATGGAAACCACTAGTATACAGAGAGTCCCTAGTCCCGTGGTACTGTACCACAATAATCACTTCTAGAGAGCAAACAGATGAATGAATGTTTTGTGTGATGGTTCCTCTTCTTCTGCTAAATTGGACTGAGAAACCTACATGTGCATAGATGTCTCCTGCATGAAAAGGGCATGCAGAATTCTGCATAAAAATAAAGTACCATTTGGATAGTTTAACACGTGCTTATTTTCATAGAAGAGGTACTTAACTACTGAAGCAGCAAAATTATAACAGTCTCGAGGAATGAGTTTCATGGGTCATGTTTGGCAGCATTTAAAGCTGGAGATCAGTTTAGAAAGTTGAATGTCATTCAGATTTAGCAATTCTATTTATGTTGTTTCTTCCAAAAGTATTGGTATTATATATCTGAGAAGCATTTAACATTTCAATTTCTATTAATTGAATAGAATTATAGTAAAATTAATATGGAATTAAATGATTTTATTATTTTTTGAATGAAGTTTTTGCAACTTTTAAAAGAACAACTGGAGCAACTGGAACATTATTATGTAGCTACCAAGGAAAAGCATTATGCTTTGCAACGTCAAAACCATAAGCATTCATCAAGAAATATTGGAGAATTTGATCCTAACAGGTCCAGTATTAATGTTTTAAAATAATATAGCTATTTTTATTGTACTTTGTTAACATTGTAATCCAATCTTCTGTAACTCAGAAATAAAACCTATTGATGCTTGATTTCAGTTAAAAAATATGTATTTGAAGCCTTTCCAAATCCAGTATTTACTGTCATAATCTTTTCTGTTGGGTAAAATATTTAATACTTTATAATTATAAAGTAGTAATTATAATTAAGTATGAGCAGTCCAGAAACAAAATGTAAAATAACTGAATAGGTAGCAACCACTTCACCCTCCCCCCCCCATTGTCACAAATAAAAGTATCAGAGTAAGAATAGGTAAACTTTCTCTACAGGTAACTTTATTACAATTAAATAATTGTAGGCAACATAGAAAAATATAACTGGAAGATCAAAACTATGCCATTACTATTTCAAAGTAGAGGGCCCATTTATCTTCTTGGTTCTCTGTAGAACTGTCTACCAATTTTCTCCTCCAAAGCTAAATTGTTTCTTGCTAATCTAACTAGTATTTTCATGACGGCAGACTGCAGTTTTGCATTTTACCATTCAACATCACTGCTTTCGGCAAATATTAAACATTATCTCTCAATTTCTCGGAAACCATATTTTCCAATTGTTCCATATCTTATATTTGATAACATCTGATAATGAAAGAATAGAGCAAAATTAATATTATGTATAATTTTGGGTGGGGATTTTTTGTATTTGTATTTAGAAAAGTAGAAGGGGAAATATTTAAACTTGGGATGCTCCTTGAAGGTATCAAAGAGAAAATTGAGAAGACATTCACTTCATATTCCTCAACGTATATAACATCACCATCACTCAGATCCCACCCATCTTCTGTTTGTTCAAGCCATTCTGCGGTAAGCCATTATCCTGTATTTTGTGAGTCTTAAAGAAAATAATATATTGTAGTCTTCAAAGGAATAAAGAAATAATTTTCTGGCATTTAGTAGACATTGACTCTTATAAGTGATTTGTTTTATTTTTGTTGATTTCACCAAGAAAATTCATTTCAAAATTATAGCCTTTTCTTCAACAAAAATAATTTCTCAATTATCCAGGTCTTATGGCGAGCCAGGTTATATACCTCTAATCTTAATCAGCATTTTGTAAGCAAAAACAGAACACTTTCAATACATTTATTTGCTGCATGTTTTAAATAGATGTATTGTGCTTCCTATATTTCTCTTATGCTTCTTTTAGAGCCCTTTGATTATAAGTACCAATGAATCTCCCAAAAGGAATGTTGCAGGACTAAATATTTCCCAAAATGAGAACTATTGGAAGAATAAAAACCATCTTGTAGAAGTAGTTCCACAAAAGGCACATAAAAAATCTATACAAGGTGACAGCAACCATCCGTTCCAGCAAATGTAAGGTTGAACTTTTACGATAATCACTGAAGATAATTATTAAATTTAGTAAGGATGTCCCTCTGGCTTAGTTGAGATAATATTCCAAGCAAACTTGTAATAGGTTATTTTTACCCTCCAAAGATAAATTGAAAAGTAGACTATGTTATATTTTGAAAAATAAGCACTAACAATAACTTACCAACTGAAATATCTCAATCGGCCAAGTATCAGAATATCGATCAAATTAAATTCAAATTGGCTCAGATAGTAATCTGATACTATACAATGCTAATCTTCTTTTCATTTCCATCAGGAATTTAAATGATCTTCAAATAAGATCTTCAGCTCTAGCAAATTTTATGAGCAAAGAATCTAATGAGGTTGATTGCACTTTACTGAATGAACAAGGTAGAACAAGTTAAAAATAAACATGTGTTTTAATAAATAATTAAATCATTCTAAGAAGAAGCACTCACTAATCAGTTTTTTAATCTGTAATATTTTCCATAGGAAGATCAGCTTCAGATAACTTTCTTGAGAAAGAAGACAAGCATAAAATTATTATACATCCTACATTGAAAATGCAGCTATCAAGAAATCAAATATGCTCCTGTTCTTCTAATAGGTTAGTATGTATATTGCTATACATAATATGAATCAAATCAATATCCGTATCAATATAAAATGCAAAAAAAAACCCAAAGTAGTTTATCTTACGGACTTACATTGCAAGTCTACACGTTTACTTAGAAATGCGGTCAATTGAATCGTGCGTGTGCGTGTGTGTGTGCGTGCATATGTATATATACATATATATGATTCAGTTGAATCATATATTCCCAGGTAAGTGAATATTAGATTTCAAGACAAAGTTTTCTAGGAACATCATTAAGATTAGCAAGATTTATTTCTGTATAAGCCTGCATGGGATTGCATCATTACCTGCATGTTTGCTGCTAAATTTCAATTAAGTCAATGTTTTATTTTTTTAAATCTAGAACTAAAACAACAGAATACAGAAAAGGAACTAGAGGACATTCTGATTGTGAAAGATTTCCGATCTTCTCTGAAGAAAAACCAGTGGATTTAGATGTAACAGGTATGTAAATCAAAGCTTCATTTATCTCATGTTTTAAGCTCTAACACGTTTTCCATGCCAGGGCTCAAATGTGACATATATAAAGTCAAAAAAAAATGAAAGTGATTCAAAAATGAAGTGTGCACTTTTTTCATCACTGAGCTCTATCCAGTCAGATATGAACACTAGCAATATTTTTAAATATTATTAAAACCAATCGGTCAGGCATATTTAGGGCATATTATTAGTATTTATAAAGCTTTGCATTGTTATGATATACAATACTTACTTTATACAGTAATACAGTTTTATTATACACAGTACAGTACCTTATTATACGCAGCAAAAGTGTTAGGCAGTTGTGCAAAAATGCTGTAAATTAAGAATGCTTTCAGAAATAGAAGCGTTAATTTATTTTTATCCATTAACAAGATGGAAAGTAAATGAACAGAGGAGAAATCCAAATCAAATCAACATTTGGTGTGACCACCCTTTGCCTTCAAAACAGTGTCAGTTCTTCTAGGTACACTTGCACAGTTTTTGAAGGAACTCAGCAAGGTTCCTTCAAGGTTGCAAACATTTCAGAGAACTAGCCACAGATCTTCTGTGGATGTAGGATGTCTCATATCCTTCTGTCTCTTCATGTAATCCCAAACAGAATTGATGATGTTGAGATCAGGGCTCTGTGGGGGCCAAACCATCACTTCCAGGACTTCTTGTTCTTCTTTTCACTGAAGATAGTTCTTAATGACACTGACTGTATGTTTGGGGCTATTGTCCTGCTGCAGGATAAATTTGGGGCCAATCACAAGCCTCCCAGCTTTTAAAACGATAACTCCCCTGAACTTTTCTGTTACTTCCTCTTCTTGGGATGGTTAAATTCAGTTAAAGTAAGATGGGAGTTTCTTTAGCCTCTCAAAAAGTTGCTCTCCATCAGAAGTAGAAGAGAGGGTTGGGATTTTCAGATGGCCTTGAATCTAGTGTATATTTAAAAAAAAAAACACCTTGTGGTAATTTCTTCAATCTTCAGGTCAGAACAAATTTCTTATGTCAGAACTGCATTTAAGGAAATTGCGATACTCACTTCTCTCTTATAAAAACACCAAACATTTAGACAAAGTAAAGTAATTCTCCATGTCCGTTGATTTATCCACAGTCTCTTAGGGTTTCCTGCTACAGACATATAGAGCCTGTCATTTGCGATACCAATTGAAATTAAATCACAGAAATGATTCATTGGATCAGCTTGTTTCTTAGTGATAAATTTAATTCCACATTAAAAAGATAGACTTTTCCTTTTGTGGCCTCTCAATAAATGGGCTAACAAAAATGGGTATGAGGAAATCTTTGGTAAGCCAAATAATGCCTTGTTGTCCTGACTTTGTAAACTGACAAATCTGAAGTTCCAAAAGACAACTTTTATCACATCCCCTTCATTATTCCAAATTACCTTTTAAGATTCTTTCCCTTTAACAGAAAGGCATTTGCATTGGTAAACCTAACCATCCTACCTTTGAACCTTGTAGAAGTACAGCTCAATAATATTCCTTACATTATCTACAATAGATTGCCTTTGCAAATGCTTATAGGCAGCTGCAATCCTGTTGAATTTGTTGCTGTATCACGAATAATGCTCTATATTACTATACCCACAACTTCCTAGGTATAGGACCTGCACCAAGTCCAACATTGTTATTTCTTATTAAATAATATTCACAGAAATATTATTTTAAAGAAACTGCTTTGGTGCATTTGCAATAAAAAAATCAGTGAGCTTAAATTTGCCAGCCTGAAACAACTGACAACCATTTAGGTTATTAAAATTATCATATTTAACAATACCTATTCATATCTACATTTTAAAAAGAAACCTATTTGGTTTGTACACATTGCTTAAAAGCTGCATTATGACTACAAACAAAAAAACAAACGAACAAACTGAAAGACACTAAGTAAAATAATAATTTTAGCTAAGGAAAGGCCTAAATTAGTTAGTTCAGTTCATGCATCAACTGGGTGTCATGATAACCAATTTTTGCCATATTAATTAATTAATTAATTAATTAATTAATTTACTATGGTTAATATTGAGGCTCTTTCAATGACTGCGCCATCAATCATGGTAAATTGCCTATTCTGGATGAGACTGCCCTCCCGTGATGGAGCAGACCAATGCGTGAGGGTGCCCTTGGATGAAGCACCGTCTCTTCAGGCTCAAATGATTTCTTTGCTTTTACAGAACTAATCTGTGCAAACACAAGTTTGCAGCAAGATAGCAGCAAAAAAATATATCTCATTATACAAATACATTTCAGTTGATACCAGTAGCCCTAAATTTATGACCATAATGGAGCCTTTCCATCACAGACATATCATGATGGTTACAAAGCGGGTCATCGTGTGACTGAATATGTTTTCTTACCTTTTCTGATGGTGGTCGTCATTAAGTGAATCATTGTCATTAAGTGCATCTGCAATCTTTAAGCAAACCTATTGTTCGCTATGGGGCATTTTTTGCAGAAAATTGTACACTCCAGTTTTCAGCAAACCATTAAAAAATCGTGGTCATGTAAATCTGGGATGCTTTAAACCGCTGCAAATGCAGTCACATGACCACATAGGGGGACTGGCCATCAAAGCTTCAGAACTAGGTCTTAAGTACCATTTGGGAGTCCGTTGTAACTTCAAAGTTGCTAAATGATCAGTCATAAGTCAAGATCTGCCTGTGTTGCGTCGTATTTTGTACTGCTGTAGAAAAAGTCCGATCACAGTAAAGCAAAATTTGGCCCATAGTATGTAATATAGGTCTCCATAGCAACATACCTTAATCTTTCATAGCCTTTATAAGTTGCTATCTCCTAGCAAAGGATTGCATTGCTAACTTCAAGGCCTCTTTTCCTAATAATTAAAAGGCAGCATTATAATAATTCAAAATGTTTTAATATTTAGGGCAGGAACTTTTGATATGTTTATTTAATGAAATATTTATTTATAATTATTTTCAGGTTCTTTGCAAAAGAATAGCATTGCCCAGCAAAGGATTTGTAAAGAAGAGCAGAGAGAAGATTTTATAGACAGATTATGTGACAGGTAAGGTCTATTAACAGTTTGGACCAATCAATAGCCATTTATGCAAACTTGTACTTCGGTGAAACGTTAATTCTGCAGATATATAGAAGTTAAAAGGAAAAATTTGTAATTGTTGGATGTCTTTCCTGTTGTGCTTAAATGCTTGAAAGCAGACTGATAAATAGTGCATAATTAACATCTTGATTTAAATTGTTGGATAGCTAGGCTTCTACATTTTGCATATTAAACATGGAATTTGCTGCATGAACATTTTTCATTTTCTTTTGCTGTCTTTTTAGGCAGAATCTATATATTCCCCAAACCCGCTATTCAAAGATGCATGATACCATTGTTCTTTCACCACAATACCTTTCTGGTAGTAATATTAATGGAAGGAAGTCAGTCAGTAATAGGAGAAAAAGTAAAGACATAAATAGCATGGTAAGAGAATATCATTATTTATAAAAGCAATATTTTTGTAGTGGGTAGAAAGTTTGAGAAATTTATATTTTACACATTTTAAGAATTTTGAGTTGGTATCCGTTCAGTTCTGTTGTTTAGGTCAGGGGTCCCCAACCCCCGGGCCGTGGACCAGTACCGGGCCGCGGCATGCCAGCAACCAGGGTGCACAAACAAAGCCCCATCTGCGAGATGCAGGCAGCACACAAAACCACGCACCCTCCACGGAACCAGTCCCTGGTGCTCAAAAGTTTGGGGACCTCTGGTTTAGGCAATGTCATCTACTGTAATAGGTCCCAGGAGACATGTCTGTTGGAATAAATCCCCTTAGATTTGGTTGGCCTGACCCTGCCTTTAAAATCCTGTAAAATTAAAATCTATTTTCTTCCTTAGGCATTGGATCTGGAAGCAGTATGATCTGTTGGATGAGGGGGTTTTTCCCCAGTACTTTACTGCATGTGTTTATATGTGGCTACTTTGGTTTTTTTTAATGCTTTGGTCTATTAAGTGGTTTTTGTTGACTTTCTATTGTTTATTGGTAAAGTATGCTGCCCTGCCCTATATTGTATACTGACTAGGGTGGCTATATGAACCAATCAATCAAATGACTAATTAAAAATAAATTGTTTAGTTTAGATTGTTTAGTTAACAAAATATGTTTGATGATTATAAAATCTTGTCTTTAACAGATATTAAACTGCACTTTGGATAATGCTATACAGATGGCAAACAATTTGAAGACAACAACAGAACACATGATGCAAGCTGTCTCAGAAGATTTAGCCAACGTCAAAATTCAGACATTATCCAGTGGCATAGCTCATCAATACTGACAGTGTATTTTGAAGACTAATAAACTATGTCTAGAATAGAGGTGCTCAATGTGTAAAAAATTAAAACAGACTACTGGAAAAAGAAACTTCTCATGTTGTTTTTGATGTAGCTAAATTCTCTTGTCCAAATAAATCTAATTATTTTCACGTACCATCTTAGATACACCATGTAGTACCTTCCTCTGTGTCAGATTACAAACAGTTTTGGTTTCCTTAAAAGGTTAATGGTTCTTTATAATAAAATATTATAAAATATTATGTGTAATGTGTAATATGTTATCTACAGTGCATTCAGAAAGTATTCAGACCCCCTTCACTTTTGTCAATTTTGTTATGCTGCAGTCTGATTCTACAGTTGTTGAAATTTTTTCTCATTAATCTACACTCAGAACCCCGTAATGACAAAGTGAAAACAGAATTTTAGAAATGTTGGTAAATTTATTAAAAATAAAAAATTGAAATATCACATTGGCATAAGTATTCAGACCCTTTGCAACAACACTTGAAATTTAACTCTGGTGCCCCTCCCCATTTCTCTTGATGGTTGCTGACATGTTTCTACACCTTGAATGGAGTCAACCTGTGGTAAACTAAATTGATTGGACATGATTTGGAAAGGCACATACCTCTCTATAGAAGGCCTCACAATTGACAATGGATACTGTAGCCGAGCAAAAGCCATGAAGTCAAAGGAACTGCCTGCAGAGCTCAGAGACAGGATTACTGCAAGGCACAGATCTGGGGAAGGCTACAATAAAATTTCTGCAGCATTAAAAGTTCCTAAGAGCACAGTGGCATCCATAATACACAAATGGAAGAAGTTTGGCACAACCAGGACTCTTCCAAGAGCTGGTTGCCCGGTCAAACTGAGCAATTGGGGGAGAAGGGCCTTAGTAAGAGAGGTGACCAAGGACCTGATGGTCACTCTGACTGAGTTCCAGAGATCCTACGTGGAGATGGGTCAGAGTTCCAGAAGGACAACTATCACTGCAGTCTTACACCAATTGGGTTTATGGCAGACTGGCTAGACTGAAGCCTCTCCTCAGTGCAAAACACATGAAAGCCCCCTTGGAGTTTGAAAAAAGCACCTGAAGGACTCTCAGACTGCAAGGAACAAGATTCTCTGGTCTGATGAAATTAAGAGTAAATAGTTTGGCCTCAATTCTAAACGTTATGTCTGGAGGAAATCAGGCACCGTTCATCACCTGCCCAATATCCCAACAGTGAAGCGTGGTGGCAGCATCATGCAGTGGGGGTATTTTTCAGCAACAGGAACTGGGAGACTGGTCAGGGTTGAGTGAAAGCTGAATGGAGCAAAGTACAGGGATATTCTCAATGAAAATCTGTTCCACAGTGCCCAAGACTGCACTGAAGGTTCACTTTCCAATATGAGAATGATCCTAAGCACACAGCCAAGATAACACAGGAGTGGCTTAGGGACAACATGTGAATGTCGTGGAATGGCACAGCCAAGCCCTGATGTGAACCCTATTGAACATCTCTGGAGGGACCTGAAAATGGCTGTCCATTGATGGTTGTCATCCAACCTGACGGAGCTTGAGAGGATTTGAAAGGAAGAATGGCAGAAAATCCCCCAATCCAGGTGTGCAAAGCTTGTCAGGTGATACCCCAAAGGACTCAAGCCTGTAATTGCTGCCAAAGGTGCTTCAACAAAGTACTGAGTGAAGGGTCTGAGTACTTAAGCCAATGTGATATTTCAGTTTTTTCTTTTTAATAAATTTACAGACATTTCTAAAATTCTGTATTCACTTTGTCATTATGGGGTACTGAGTGTAGATTAATGAGAAAAAAATGAATTTCAACAACTCTAGACTTTTGTCAACAAAATTGACAAAGGTAAAGCGGGTCTGAATACTTTCTGAATGCACTGTACGTTCATAAATGGAGCTAGTCAATACATGTACTCATATTCACCTCTTAAATACACCTCCAATGTTTCAGAGGTACTTTACTAATTCCCATCAGCACCATCCCATCAACTTCCTGTTCACACCAGGAAGGACTGGAATCCAAACAAGTAGCAATGGACAGCCAAGACAGTATTCTATTATTAAATAATAAACCATTGTGCCATCAAACATGTGTTTTAAATTAATAAATTACCCAATGATTTTAGTAAGAAATTGGGAGCTGTATTTACCAAATTTATGTGCTAGTGAAGGATAGTGTCATTTAAATACGCAGCAATGTTTTTCTATTCTAATCCAATTTGTATCACTTTGAAAGTCTCAGCTATCAATTATCCCTATTACTCAATTATCCCTGTTACATTACTCTTCATCTTCTGCTTCTACTGCTCCAATCAATACTGAATGTTGTTTGAAAGACTCCAGTGAGGCAATTTTCCCAGGAAAAAAGAGGGGAGGAAAATGACTAACTGGTCTGTACTGCAAATTTTAAAGATTCTCTAGAAACAACACATTCACCAATGTTCTTTAATTATGGTAAAGTGTTTATTACATACCTGTGTTTTATCCAAATACCATAGAAAGATCCATGCACTCCCAGATGCATATATTTTAAAATTTATATCAAATTTCTCAGAAAAGAAGTTAGCTTTATATCTGTAGTTTACTGCAAATTGTTTTCAGTGAAATAGAAGTTGCATAGAATTTTGTAGCTCTACATCTGTTAATTGTGAAATTGTGTTACACATTTATATTTTAAATTTCTTCCATAATTCCATAACATTTTGTAACCATATATTTAGAAACAGACATGTTTCATGATAGAAAGTGTACACATTATTATTGAAATTATTAGCATATGTACAAACATGTTTTCCAAGTCTTAATGTAATATGTTGTAGTGATGAACATTCTCTACAGTGAACATTTCACAATAAAAGGCCAGTTACTGTATAACGCAAATACAATATAAAATACAAGCTGTTGCATGCACTTCATTTACCATCTTCCCATTCCCCACCACAATGAAAAGCAGCAATCTCAAATTATAAAAACACAATTCTAAATAACACTTATTTGTAAAATATTTACACAGAATACAACCCAGTTCCAACCGAGCACTTTTAAATACCCACTGATTTCAAAAAGAAGTTGCAAAAACAGTTTTAACATTTCTTCCAGTGAAACCAGAGGACTTTAAAATGCTTATGTCCAACTAGATTATATCCATAATATCTATAGCATGATTTTTTTTATCTGTTAAGTTAAGCAGAAATGAATGTTTAACTATGATCTCTACTCATCTTTCAAATAAACATTATCCTTTGGTTTTGTTACAGTAAGTGCTTTTACATCATCCAAAAGTCTTCTAGGTGTCACAACGTGAGTAGATCCTGGTAAAAAAAAATACAGTCATTAACATTAATCTACCACATTCATAACTCATCACTTTTAGAAAGAGCTGACATAGTCATACTCCACTCAGTAACAAGGATGCAGCTGTAGAGGTGGCCAACAGTATTAAATATCTGGGGGTGCAGATAACTAACAATCTGAACTGGTCTCTCCACACCTCATCCTTAGTGACGCGTGCAAACCAGCGTCTGCATTTCCTGTATCTGATGAGGAGAGCACATCTCTCTCCTTCTGTCCTGGCCATTTTTTACAGAGGCACAATTGAGAGCATTTTAACAAACTGCATCACCGTCAGGTTTGGTGGCGGCAGTGCCTCAGATAGAAAGTCCATTCAGAGACTGGTAAGGACAGCCGAGAAGATCATAGGAAGCTCACTCCCTGGTAGTCAGGATGCTGCTTCTAAGCGCTATGTGCTTAGAGCTCAAAGCATTGTTAGAGACCCCCACACGCCCACTTTACAGTCTATTTCTGTTGCTCCCCTCTGGAAGGAGGTTTTGAAGTATTTCTAGCAGGACTATCCGATTATGCAATAGCTTTATTCCCTATGCCAGTGGTGGCGAACCTATGGCACGGGTGCCAGAGGCGGCACTCAGAGCCCTCTCTGTGGGCACGCGCGCCGTCGCCCCAGTCCTAGGCCTTCAGCTGGGTTTTATAAAACCTTTTCGCTTTAGGCCTCCGCCGCCGTGTGCCAAAAAAAAGGTTCAATCAGTCAATTTCAACTTGTCGCGGGAAAAAGAAGATCTTGCAAAGTTGGAATTGATTGATTGAACTTTTTAGTCCCACCCAGTCTGCTGTTACCACCGCAGCCACGCCCACCCAATGGGCCACGCCCATTCAATGGGCCACACTCACCCGGCACCCGATGATGCATAAGTGTGTTTTAGGTTGCAGTTTGGACACTCGGTCTCTAAAAGGTTTGCCACTGCCCTATGCCATCCATCTGGTAAACTAGCAAGAATCGTTTTTCTCGCCATGCACATGTATACATAATCTGAACTAGACTGTGTTGTCTCTCTGTGCCATATAATATATGTGGGTATATGCTGTAATTCTGTATTTATTTATTTTTGTCGTATTTATGTAGTATATACTGTAGATGGTGGCCTTTGAAAGCCGTATGCAATGACATTTCATTTTTAATGTATGCCGATTAGTGTACATTCAAAGTGACAATGAAGTTATTATTCTATCCTATTCATAGCAGACTACATTATTTTTTTAATGTGCAGAAGAAAAACGTAATAGCCTTTTCATTTTAAAAATGAAAAACTTGATACAGTTCCATTAGAGAGTAAGGACAAAGCAATTGCAGGGGCATTCATACCAATTTTTTTTAAGAGATATTTATATCCTGCTTTTATTATACTTGTAAATAACTCAAGACTGCAAATTTATCTAAGACTACTATTACTCCCATTTTCCCCATAGCAACAACCCTACGAGGTAGGTTGGGCTGAGAGAGTGTGACTGGCCCAAAGCAAATGCAGTGGTCATAAGTGCAAACTCATTGTTCGCACTCATGGGCGCTGTTTTGCCGAAAACCAAAAATGCCTGTTTGGGACAAACCACTGCAAAACAAGGTCATGTAACTGTGGAATGCTGCAAACAGTCTAAATGTGGCTGTGTTGCTGAGTGCCATGGGAAATACAGCCTGGGACGTCTTGGGAATAGGGAAGGCCTTGGGAGGGCCAGGGCAAGAGGCCCCGTGCCTGTGCTAGGCTTCCAATGGCCTCCCCCACCCAGGAGGCACCCTGCACTCCGCTTAATGACCCACACATTCATTTAACATTTCATTAGGGAGAGCAGGGATCGGGAGATTATTAGATGAGATGTTTTACCTAATAACCGCCATGGCACGCGACCGTAATGGTCATATCTCAAGAATTTTCTGTATTCAAAAGAT